TTCCCAGTCTACAGTGCCCTTAGATGATGCAGTAGTTGAGTCCCTTCTTGTAAAGAATGATATGCCATTTGTTTGTATCTGAATTTTTACAATCAGAGTGAAAGTGAATTTGATGTATACTCGGTTTCCTGCTTTTCGTGTGTAGTCTGTGAAATATCTAGAAAGAACAGAACTGTTCCATGGAATTAGTCAAACTTTCCCTTTTGATTACAGCATGAGCAGGCTGCAGTCAAGCTGATAATTTGCTGTCTTCAGTCTATATCTATGTATATTGATTCATTAGGTTTTTCTGGGCATAAGAAGCTGCTCTCAACTCCGTTGCCTCTTAAGGCTTTTTTTTTTTTTTTTTTTTTACTTTTTCAATGCTCAAAAATAAAATTACTTATTGTTTAATGGCATAAGATATGGATGTGCATTTTAAGTCTCAAGTGTGCTGAAACATGTATTCTGGCCTTCCAAAGTATTTTTGCCTTCCAGGCATAATGCTTTTTCTGTTTAGTCAATTGTAGTGGGATCCACCTATCACGGTGGATATCAGCAAAGGTAGAGGTTGGTCTCTTCTCCTGGTTAAATCTTTGACTGTGAACTAGAAGCTGGGGAACTAAAATTCATGACACAGAATTCATTTTGAGAGCTGCAAGAAAAATAAACCAGTGGTAAGGTGGCTTCTGTTTCATGTTCTCTGAATCTACGATTTAGCCACATGCATATAAATTCCTCTGGTAAGATGCTCTTACTTCTAGTGTCTGATTAGAAAATAGTTGTGATAATAGATTGCCCATCGAGGAAAGGAATGTTGCACCATTAGCTTTACAACAAATATGTCACTCCTGCAACCAGGACTTAGCAACAGATTGTACAGAGCTGCAGTGGAGGTGCTGTATTCATTGTGTTGTCTTTGTTCTGGCAGTTACCCCAATGTCAACATTCACAACTTTACCACAAGCTGGAGGGATGGAATGGCTTTCAATGCACTGATACACAAGCACAGGTATGTGTGGGGAGATGTCCTGATGGGTTTTGAAAGCTGGGATTGCTGAAGAGTGCATGGTGTTTTGAAGTTACCATGCAGCTTGATTTTAAAATCTGTGGGGAGAAGGAAGTTGAAGAATTACTTTTACAGCAACTTGCCTTTTGCTTTTTCACTCTTGTGTTTGCTGTGAGCTCATCTGGGCAACAGCTTCTCATACCACAAGTTGCGTTTCATTTCAAGAGAATAAATTATACACACTGTTGTTTGGTTCTGTGACTGACTACACTGGGGGAGAAGTCTTTATACCTTACCTTACTGCGTAGCCAGTTACGAGTTCTGAATTCACAGTCCAGAATTCACAGTCCAGGAGAGTGGAATGCAGTGGCAGACTGAAGGGGAAAAAAGTCACTGGGCAGGGATTATAGAATCTGGTGCTACAGTTGGACACAGCTTCAGTGCCACTCATTGGTGAGCTTGGGTGATGTTAGTGGGATGGCTTACATGCTCACCTTGTCAGGAGGAGAGACTGACTTCCCATAGCTGTTCACTTGCCTTTGACCCTGCTAAACTTTGTCCCTGGTAAACTGTCGTTATTTGGGCTAGGTTCTGCTGCCTTGCTAACTGCTAGGTGTTACTTCATTCTTCTAATTCTCACACTGAAATGCACAGGGGTACTGGGCAAGTGAAACCTTGGCAGCATGAGAGGCCAGGTTTCATTCTATGTCATTTGTTCATTGAAGGTAGATATGCTGTGCTTTGGCAAATCTAATGAATTTTTCATCCTGTCTAGGCCTGATCTGATTGATTTTGACAAGCTGAAGAAATCAAATGCACACTACAATCTGCAGAATGCTTTTAACCTTGCTGAGCAACACCTTGGTCTTACTAAGCTCCTGGACCCTGAGGGTAAGAATTCCTACAGTTTTAACACTTTGCAGCTCTTTGTGGGCTCTATTCTCCCACCTTGTCAGAGGATGCTGTTTTGTGATAGCTTTTTGCCTTGAAGAGCAGCTAGCAGGATGCTGCTGACTCACTCAGCGATACAGCCAGAGAGGGAAGGAGAGAGTGCAAGATGTCTCCTGCAGAGGACTGAGCAGTGGAACCAAAACAGCCCTAAATTCAGAATTTATAATCCCCCATCACTGGATTGCCATGTATACAGATCACTGGACTGGCCATGTATATATAAAATCATTCCAATTAGAGGCATCCTTCTGGTGTGCTCTGAAAAAAATGTTTTTGTTTCTCATCCTGAATCAGAAGATGACTAATGTGGATTTCACCCAGTAGTGAGCCATTTCTTTCAGACTCTTGGTGAGATTTATCCCAAGCATTTGTGAGGCTGTGCACTCACACGTGTTGGAAGGAATGCTCACAACTCCAGGACAAAATTTTTCTGTCACAGGGCAAATAAATAGAGGCCATGTGTCTGGGCAAGTTTCTTCTTGCTTGTTTTCCAGTGCCTCGTAATTGCTACAGAAAAAAAAAATGATTTGTTTTCCTTCTGTGTATCTCAGAATATTTGCCTGGACAGACATGCCATTTGTTTTGCATTTCTCCACATACTGATAGAGCACTGAAGATGTCAATTAGCAGTAGGTCTGCTGACTCACATGGACATTAGGGAGGTTGTTCAGCCGTGCAGTCTGTGTCAAAATCATGAACCAGATGCTAAGGCCCAAAGATCTCCAGCCCCTGCTTTAGCCATGGTCTGCACTGAGGTGGATAAAGGAATACTTCTTAGTGACAGAGTGTACAACATGGGGTAATCCAGAACCAGTCTAAAGCTGCTGAATATGTTTCTGATCAGGACATAAATCTTAGGACTTGAGCTGCCACTGAACCTATATCTCTGACTCTCGAACCCATTCTTGTTGGATTATTAGCTTTGTTGTTTTAATCCATGCCCTCCCACTGTGCTAAGACAACTGTTGTTTGCTTTGCAGATATCAGTGTTGATCATCCCGATGAAAAGTCAATCATCACCTACGTGGTGACATATTATCACTACTTCTCCAAAATGAAAGCTTTAGCTGTTGAAGGAAAACGCATTGGAAAGGTTTGCTAATTGAAGTTATAAGTTATTGCAAAGCAATTTAAATCTTTCTGATTTTTTGGTTTTTTTCCCTCTCGAGTGTTAAACCTTAGAGAGTCCACTGTATGGTAGTTTTTAGTTTTGCTTTTGAAATGCATTTTGAATGTTAAATATTCCCATATGATCACGAGGAGTACTTAATTTCCAGCTGCCTCTTATTAGAAAACATTTGGCTGGTGTTTTATTTTTGCTTGTTAATTTTGCATCATTGCTGCTTTGCCTTTCCCATTAGCTGCTCCTCACCCTCTGGGTCTTCTGTCTCTTCTGAAGCCCAGAAAAGTCTCTCATTTAAAAAACATGTTGTTGTTCTCTGCCCTTTGGCAAAGCTGCCCCTGTCTTTACAGCTGGCAGACTGGATGTGAATCCTGTAGTATGCTTCTGCTCTGCCCCTCTGTTGCCTTGGGATTATGGGAATTCAGCACCAAAAAATGCAAAGCCCTTGTACCTCAGGGAACACGGGCCCTGTAGTGCTCAGGGTGAGCACCTGATTCTTTAAGTAGCTTGCTGGATTTCACAGAATCACAGAATCACATAATTGCCAGGGTTGGAAGGGACCTCAAGCCCTTAGGTGACTCTGAAGTGTGCTGCCCTTGTTACTCATCTTATTTTGTGCTGCTTGTTGCAGGTGCTTGACAATGCCATTGAAACAGAGAAAATGATTGAAAAATATGAATCGCTGGCTTCTGACCTTCTGGAGTGGATTGAGCAAACCATTATTATCCTCAACAACCGCAAATTTGCCAACTCACTTGTTGGTGTGCAACAGCAGCTGCAGGCATTCAACACCTACCGCACAGTAGAGAAACCACCCAAGTAATCTTAATCTTAGCTTAAAAAAACAGTGGTCTTGTTTTGTTCAGTCAGTTGTTGATTTAAAAAAAATACAAACGCATAGAAGTAATTTTAATCTTGGCCGAAGAATTTATTTTTCTGAGCATGACTAGATATCACATTTCTAATGGGCACTGACCATTACTGGATTCTATTTGTTTTATGCTATTTGATATGCATGTAGTAATAACAGTAGCAATAATAATTGAAAACAAGTGTGCTGTTTGCAGGATCTCATGGTACTGGAAGCTATCATTTCACAGAGGTGCCTGTCTTGCAATACAAACAGTAATAGTATACCATACTGGTATGGAAATATCACTCGTCATGCTCACTAGCAGCATATAATACCAAGACACAGCTATTAAAAGGCTCTTTCTGTTTTTCCATAATTAAGAGGAAGTGTGTCTGGCTTCGTAAAAGATAGCTTTGCTTGCTAAAAATGATATAACCAAAGCCATGCAGTTTGTTTCTGGAGAGTTTATTTTAGCATTACGTTATCAGATCTGTTTATTATTTTTGTCTAATATAAGTTTTAATGGATAATAATTACAATCAAAAACATTACAGAATATCCAGACATCCTCTAAATTGCAGTCTATTCCCCAGTGCCTATGCAGTTTGTTTGTTTCCCAGGCATACAACTCAGGGAAAAGAGTGGGAAGAGTTTATGGGGTGCAGTGGGCTCTAAACAAAACTTCAGTTTCTTGGTTGATAAAGTAGGACAGCACATGTAATAGAGTAAGAAAATATGCAGCCTTCTATGCCTCAAAGAGGTTTAAATCTAAACAGACAGACAGCTGACTTCTGTGAAGGAGTTTGTTTGTTTGTTTCTGCTTGACCCAGCTGATTGCAGGGGTGGGGGGCTATTTTTACTGCTTTCAGCTTTCACACAAGATTCAGGTGTTTATCTCAGTACTCCATTCATGTCAATATTTTAAGGAAGTGCTTTATAATGCCTTGGTAGCCACGAAGGCTTTATTGTAACACTATTCCTTTGGAAAATTTTGTTTAGGTTTACAGAAAAAGGAAACCTGGAAGTGCTGCTTTTTACCATCCAAAGCAAAATGAGAGCCAACAATCAGAAAGTATACATGCCGAGGGAGGGCAAACTCATCTCTGACATAAACAAGGTAAACTGAGACAGCCCATCCTTTGTAACTCAGTTGGTTTTTCTTTTCAGTGTCTGTTTCTGCAGTCTTTGCATGCTGGGATGGTGTGAAGATAATATCTGCTATCTCTAGGCCTCATAGGCCTCTTACAGTAGGGACTGTAAGATGGGACAGGTGGGGGGATCTTTTCCCTTATCTTAAACTCACTGATATGAGCTGAGACCCTGGATGGCTTCAGTATTTCTAAGCTCTTCTTCATGTGCAGAAGAAAAATGTGCAGTAGTTCTGAGCAGTCAGTTATAGATGTAGTAGCTCTTGTGCCTCCGGGGTCCTGGCTATTAATCAGCAGAAAGTAGCAGCAATATTAGGTATTGCATCCTTCCTCATTTAGTTTTGATGAGATGCGTCCTAACAAAGCTCCCGAAAAGAAAAAGGTTGTTTGAGACCCAGCAGAGCCAAGCACAGCAGCAGGCAGCCTGTGTCATTCAGGGTTATGCAATGCCTCTGCTTTCCATGGCTCCAAGCAGGGAGCAGAACTGGCCTTTATCTGCCTTTCAGCCCTTCTGTCCACAGCATGGGAGAGTAAAGGAAGTATTGTGACTCATGTTGTGGGTTCTCGTTTGGGATTTAAGTAGCTATTTTTTATGCTGGTGCACCAACAGAGCTGCAGCAGAGCTGACAAACTCTATCAAGGATAACAAACAGCTTAAAACTGTGAGCTTTCCTTATTTGAGTTTGATCATGTTTGGCATTCCCAGAGCAGCTGTTCTGGGTGTCTGTGGCCTCAATCTGCATCCTAGAGAGCAGTAAACTGCATGACTCTACTGTTTGCATTAAGCTCCTGTGTCTGTGAATGCCTAAAATACTTTGAGTTTCAGGCAATTTCACATCTGTTAGGATTTAGAAGAATCTGGGGTAGTTTGTGTTTAATTGTGGGTATTTTTGTTGTTTGTATAGAAGATCTGAAAGGTGATTAGTTGGCTTTCAGTGTGCTTCTAAGACTTTGTTTTTATAGTATTAATGCTATGCGTGTGAGTAACTTCTTGCTTTGGGGGAAAAAAGGACTCCGATGCAGCAAAAGAAATTTGGTATTTGTTTTCCTTTCCAATGGGGATGTGATAACAACAGCTGTAAACTGATTTTACACACAAATATCTAATTGTCATGTCCTAAAGGAAAAAGATAGAATTCCTTCTTTGAGAGTAGCACTTAGAAGATTTCGAAAGAGTTGCTCTCTTACATGTTGAAGCCAGGTGGTTTACCTAAGGTTCAGTGGAGGCAAATAACAAACGAACTCAAGAAAATGCATCTGAGATAAATAAGGCTTATACCTCTTGCTCAAAAAAGGAATGAATGAATGGAGATCAAAGTTTAAGACTGTATTAGCAGACAAGGTGTAAGGCCAGCCAATATAAACCAGATATACTGGCACATAAGTAAATCAGCCAATTCTGTGAAACTTGGATGAAGTGACTTCAGTACTGATCTCCTGTGAAACAGACATGATTTATTGTATGAGTGTGTATTTAGAAGGCGAATGTTTGTTTTTTACTTTTTTTTTTCTCCACATCTTCAGGCCTGGGAAAGACTGGAAAAAGCTGAACATGAAAGAGAACTGGCACTGCGAAATGAGCTCATCAGACAAGAGAAACTGGAACAACTTGCACGCAGATTTGATCGCAAGGCAGCTATGAGAGAAACTTGGCTGAGTGAAAATCAACGTCTAGTTTCTCAGGTGCCTCTTTCAGAAATTGTCTGTGTGACTTAAATGATTCCAAGTACTTAAAGGTCACAGTTCTTGCAAGGAGAATGTTTTTTTTCTCCTATGCCACTTATTTTACTGAATCTATGTGTATTTATATGTATTGTATGTCTGTGTAAATGTATTTTTAGAGTATATTTTACTGTCCTATCTTTAATTTGGCATACCCATTCTTGGGATCAGTTGAGATTTTTTATACCTGAATGTTCAGGTCAGTTCAGTGGAATTTGTTATTATTTACTAGAGATGGATTTAAAACAACAACAAAAAAACCCAAGAAGATCCTGATGGCCGCTGTGATTCTTTCCCCAAAGCTTATGTCTCTGATTTTATCAGAAGAGTTTTCAGAGCATTTTGAGATCCTCAGTTGCTAACAAGTGTGTTCTGCACAATCAGAAATCACTTTTAAGTTTGAGCATGCCACTGCTGAAGAACTGTCTCTGTCGTTACAGGATAACTTTGGCTTTGACCTTCCAGCAGTAGAGGCTGCAACCAAAAAGCATGAGGCCATTGAAACAGACATTGCAGCATATGAAGAGCGAGTCCAGGCTGTGGTTGCAGTTGCAAAGGAGCTTGAGACTGAAAATTATCATGATATCAAACGCATCACTGCAAGAAAGGACAATGTTATACGCCTGTGGGAGTACCTCCTGGAGCTACTCAGGGCACGAAGACAACGGCTGGAAATGAATCTTGGCCTACAAAAGATTTTCCAGGAAATGCTATACATTATGGACTGGATGGATGAGATGAAGGTAGATGTTATCTATCTGAGAACATGGAATAAGTATTCTAGAGAGGTGTACATGTCTTTTCTTTGGTAAATTTTTAAGACTCATTTTGCCTTTCTGGTTTAGTGGGCAAATTCATAAGCAGTGAACAAGTTCCTTATGCCTATAAATGATGATGTTTTTTAAAAAATGAAGATTAAAAACAGTAAGGAAAAGGAACAGGCTTGCTCCTGTAGAAAGCCTCTTTTCATATTCATGCCACTGTGATAAGGGCCAGAAGCTTTGGTCAGGCTTAGGTGAGGGTGCAGATTTTGGTGAAAGGGAGTTAGATGAAATATCTTCAGTGCTGCTTACATGGGAATCTACTCACCTCTTGATCACTGTGCTTTAAAAAGCATGAAATATTTTCCTGTGTGTTCTGCTGGGACCTTAGAAAGGCAGGAATTCTAACTTTGTTCTTGTCCTTCAGCCTGCAGAACTTGTAAGCTGTCACAGGAAAGTTGTGTGTAGTTCAGTGGCAGCTTAAGGTACCTGGACAGAGTGCATTGTGTTGGTTCTGCTGAGCTAACTCAGCTTCTCTTCGTCTCAGACTTAGAACCGTGTTAGAGAGCACAGTCAAGTTCTTCATGGTTATTAGTGATTTGAAAAGTTGGTTCAAATTCACATCAGTCGTGTCCCCAGAATTTTGCAATAATTCTGCTTATGTTCCTGGTGTTACTTTGGATTTAAATCACTGTAAAAATAGAGGGCATTATAAGGCACAAGGGAGTCATTAAGAAACAAATAGCTTATGGCCTTCAGCTCATTTTACTTGCCTTTTACATTTTGATCAGGTGCTTCTGCTGTCACAAGACTATGGCAAACACTTGTTAGGAGTCGAAGACCTGTTGCAGAAACATGCTCTAGTGGAAGCTGACATTGCTATTCAGGCTGAGAGAGTGAGAGGGGTCAATGCATCTGCTCAGAAGTTTGCCACCGATGGAGAAGGTAACTAGCAGCCAACATGTCCTTCTTAGATGTAATTATATATGAGGTTCTCCTTGAGCCTTATTAGTTCTTTACGGCACATTATGTTGAGTTGAATAAGAAAATCCACAATTATTTGTTCCTTTTCTCCCTGTGTCAATGATTAATTCAGCCAGGTAACTCACTTGAGATTTCAGTTTGCCTAGAATGTCACATTTTTAACCAGCAGCTGCTGTAACATTGTAGCATTAATTCCATTTTGTGTTTCTAATACAAACATTAAGAAATCATGAAATTGAGTGTGGTATTTTCCCCAATTTATTCTAATTCAAAGCAATTCCAGTAAATTAATGACGTTAGCTAAAGTAGATAATGTTTATTTTTTGTAATATAAATCTGGAGTGGTGATTTTTCTTTAACTGATAAGTTTATGAATATCTTTTTCATTTTTTTAAGTTTTTGTCTTTTAGATCTTTTTAAATTCTAAATGAAGTCTGGGTAGTTCCATTGTTTCAGGAAGCTATCGATTCTTTACTGGAAACTTTGCAGATGGAGCTATCAGGAATTAAGAGCTCACATGTATGTCCCGGATGTAGAGGTGAAAATTGGTGGGGCCTTGTTGTAACCTACATTCTCTATCTGAACAGGTTACAAGCCATGTGACCCACAGGTTATTCGGGACCGCGTCGCTCACATGGAGTTCTGTTACCAAGAGCTGTGCCAGCTCGCAGCTGAGCGCCGGGCCCGCTTGGAGGAGTCGCGGCGCCTCTGGAAATTCTTCTGGGAAATGGCTGAAGAAGAGGGTTGGATCAGGGAGAAGGAGCAGATCCTTTCATCTGATGACTACGGGAAGGACCTAACCAGCGTCGTCCGTCTCTTGAGTAAACATAAGGCATTTGAAGATGAAATGAGTGGTCGCAGTGGCCACTTTCAGCAGGCGATAAAAGAAGGTGAAGACATGATTGCGGAAGAGCATTTTGGGTCTGAGAAAATCAAAGAAAGAATTAAGGATATTCGGGAGCAGTGGGCTAACTTGGAACAGTTATCTGCCATTAGAAAGAAACGTCTGGAGGAAGCCTCTCTCCTTCACCAGTTCCAGGCTGATGCTGATGACATTGATGCGTGGATGTTGGATATCCTCAAAATTGTCTCCAGCAATGATGTTGGCCATGATGAATATTCCACTCAGTCCTTGGTTAAGAAACACAAGGATGTTGCTGAAGAGATTGCAAGCTACCGGCCAACCATTGACTCGCTTCATGAACAGGCAAAGGCTCTACCACAAGAGCATGCCGGGTCTCCAGATGTGCAAGGCAGGTTGTCTGGGATAGAAGAAAGATACAAAGAGGTTGCTGAGCTGACTCGGCTGCGTAAACAGGCTTTGCAGGACACCCTTGCTCTTTATAAGATGTTCAGTGAGGCAGATGCTTGTGAGCTTTGGATTGACGAGAAAGAGAAGTGGCTGAATAATATGCAGATCCCAGAGAAACTGGAGGACCTGGAAGTGATCCAGCACAGGTGAGAATGGCTTTACCAGGAACTCTGGGGAATACTGGATGGAGATTTTGTTTGCACCGGCTACCTTTGTCAATTTGCCTGTGACTTGAATTCTCTAATGCCTTTGTGATTTTTATTTGTTTTTTCCAGATTTGAAAGCTTAGAACCAGAAATGAACAATCAGGCTTCCCGTGTTGCAGTAGTGAACCAGATTGCAAGACAGCTAATGCATAGTGGCCATCCAAGTGAGAAGGAGATAAAAGCACAGCAAGATAAGCTCAACACAAGGTAAGTGCAGGCCTAACACTCAGGAAAATGTGACACTGGATGAAGAAAATACAGTGGGATCACTAGTATTTCTTATGTCTTTTTTAAATATATTCTGGTATTCTTACCTCAAATATCTTCAAGGAAACCTTTAACTATAAAGCTTCAAAAGCAAAGAGATGTGTCTTTGCAATATTTGATTAACGGGTGGAATTCTGCAATTAACTTTAACCACGTCCTCAGTGTATCAGTACCCCAACTTGACAGGTGGAAGCTTAGCATAGTGGCTATTATGATAAAAAAGAAACCAATGTAATATCTTATCTAAATTAAATCATTTTCTGGCTTCACAGTCCACTGAGAGGGTGTGTTTAGTGTGAAAATCAGAGGTAGCTAGCAATTTCTCACTTAAGGAAAAATTATACTTGGAAGGACTCATTGTTGCTGATACTTGGCATATTCTAATAAATGCCATAGCTTTGTTAATAGCTTTTTTGATACAACTATTAATAATATGGAAAGGACTGAAAATAGCATGAATAAGTTAGGTTATTTCATGGCTTCACAAGCTGATTTGAGTAACCGCTCACTCAGTAGTGTTGCTGATACTCTTTTCCCTTAATGTACACAAAGTCTCGATTTATCTGCCTTTTTCTCCTCATAAATTTCAGATGGAGCCAGTTCAGAGAACTGGTAGACAGGAAGAAGGATGCTCTGATCTCTGCCTTAAGTATCCAGAATTACCACCTTGAATGTAATGAAACCAAGTCCTGGATCAGGGAGAAAACCAAAGTGATTGAATCCACTCAAGATTTGGGTAACGATCTGGCTGGAGTGATGGCTCTGCAGCGGAAGCTGACAGGCATGGAACGTGACCTGGTAGCCATTGAAGCTAAGCTCAGTGACCTGCAAAAGGAGGCAGAAAAGTTGGAATCAGAGCATCCTGACCAGGCACAAGCTATCCTTTCACGGCTTGCAGAAATCAACGATGTATGGGAAGAAATGAAGACCACCCTGAAAAACCGGGAGGAGTCTCTTGGAGAGGCAAGCAAACTGCAGCAGTTCCTGAGAGATCTGGATGACTTCCAGTCTTGGCTATCCAGAACACAGACTGCAATCGCCTCCGAAGACATGCCAAACACACTGACAGAGGCTGAGAAGCTGCTCACTCAACATGAGAACATTAAGAACGAAATCAACAATTACGAGGAAGATTATCAGAAAATGAGGGACATGGGTGAGATGGTGACACAAGGGCAGACTGATGCTCAGTACATGTTCTTACGCCAGCGCCTACAGGCTTTGGACACTGGATGGAATGAACTTCACAAAATGTGGGAGAACAGGCAAAATCTCCTTTCCCAGTCTCATGCCTACCAGCTCTTTCTCAGAGATACCAAGCAAGCAGAAGCATTTCTTAACAACCAGGTAAGTGATCGAGATCCACTTTGTTTCATTTATCATAGAATCATAGAATTCTCATCAAACTCATTTCCCCACATCAACATCATATACTGCAAGGGGCTAACAAACGAGATTGTTCAGCAGCAGAGCTAAGAATAGATATATATATACATATTTTTTTCTAACTGCAGTTTGCTCTTTGTATTTACTTCTATCTGTTCTTAGGAGGCCTTTCTTTTGATGTGTGGTGAATCTATTTACAGAGTATACAATACAGTCTGAGTGCAGTACTTTTATCTCTCTGATTTGTGTTTCAAACACAGGAGTATGTTTTGGCACACACAGAAATGCCCACTACCTTGGAAGGAGCAGAAGCTGCTATTAAGAAACAGGAGGATTTCATGACCACCATGGATGCGAATGAAGAAAAGATCAATGCAGTTGTAGAGACGGGCAGAAGGCTAGTTAGTGATGGGAACATTAACTCTGATAAAATCCAGGAGAAAGTGGACTCTATTGATGACAGGTAAGGTCAGACTGATAGCAGAATGTAGCTGTTTGTGTTTCATTTCTGTTCTCTGAGAGACAGTATTTTATTGGAATCAAGAGGCAAAGTAACATGTTAGAAAACGTCTGTTGCAGACTGTTTTCTTTGTCCTGTGTAGAAGTAGGAACTGTAATGTTTCAAAAATGTGCTTGGCTACCTTAATTAAATGTTACCTCTCCCATTTTCTAGAGACTTATTAGGGAGTGAGCTCACTACGCAGGATTTGGCTACAGGAGTGTTGCCACATACTTCTTGGAGTATTATCAGACTTCATTCTCTAGTGGAAGCTGTAGCAGTAGCTATACTTGATTTTACAAGCCTTAAATTTCCTCTGCTATCTCCTAGCTGATTCAATTACAATAATATATTCCTGTCCTTCCCCTGGGGAAGGAACGAGTCTCTTCAAAAGTGTAATTGGCATTTTATCAACCCCACCCACTTGGCTTTGATCATGTTTTCCAAGTTGTCTGGCCCTTCTGAAATGAGATTAGAAAGCTTGGTACAAATGCAGTTTTCATCCTAGAAAAAGGTTTTTGCTTTGTCTCTTTGGCTGTGGTGTGACTGCTGTAGATGTTTTAAGAGTTTCATTTTCTTTTAGAACCGAATGTTCAGTTTTGATGGCTATGATTTATAGTTCTGTCTTCATTTGGTTTGAATAGTAGTGGAATCTTTCAAAGTGGTTTTCAGCCATGATCATCAGAACACAGCAGTAAGTTCCTGCAGAATTTTTATGTCAAATGCTACTGACCACCTTCTGTCAGACTTGCATCCTTCTGCAGCTAGGAAGCTCAGGCTGCCAAGTGCTTCTATCTTCGAAGAGCAACTGAACTGAAGCAGTGCAGAAGATGTTTACTAGAACAGGAAAGGTGCAACATTTCACACCATGTGTGTACCTGCTTTAGCTGTGGCCCAAGGCTTTAAAAAAAGGTGAATGTTCCTGTTCCCAGAGCTTGTGTGAGTCCTCTGGCATTCTAACCCCTAGGATAGCTCACGTTTTCATTCTCTGGCCAGCTTGACTCTCTTTAGATTCTGACCAGAATCTGCAAAGACCAGAAAAAGGAAATGATGTGAAAGCAACCTAGGATCTGAGTTTGTTCACTTAATTGGGTTTCCAGCCACGGCAACTTAGATCCCAAGTCCAGGCATATGCAGGTCTCTTTATGTGACGATAACAATTTCCTTTTCTGGAAGACAATGCTCACAGATAAAGGAAGCACTTACATGTGCCTTTTGTTCAACACTGGAACACAGTGAGCTTATCCAGTCAGTACCTTCGTTTTTTCTCCATTTCCTTAAAGCAGTGATGTGTAGAGGGGCTCCTTCTGCCCATCACTGTGGTACTCTGACCATTTCCCCAGCACAGCTTCTCCTCTGTGTCCCTGTGGCACTCTGGTCAGCCACCTGGGCTGTCCTGTCTGCAGCACGTGTGCTTCTCCCACTCAGAAGGATGGTTGAGTCTTAGAGGCTGTATATTTTTTTTTAAGCTCACTTTTGTTTTCAACGCATTTCCTCAATTCCAAAGCTATTTCTGCAGACTGCTGCAAAAACCATCCGGTGCACTGCTATCCAGGAAATCCGTGTGATTGCTCTCTGAGCCTGTAAGGATGATAAGCCTCAAGAACAAAGCCTTAGGGCTGGGTGTAGTGGGAGTGGTAGCAAAGGAAGCCTCTTTGGTTTAACAAAAAATTGCTCTCCCAACCAAGCTCCTGTCTTTTGTTATAGCAAAAGACAAAACCAAACAAACTCGAATATGTGCAGTGGCTCCATGCTTCCCGTGCTCTTTGTAGTTTTTTATATTGTTAATAGTGGCTTTTTTTACAGTAATGCTTGCAAGCTAAGCCACTGTCCATTGAGAGAGCAGACAGCGTTTCAGGGCAAAGGCTTACCACATCAACAGGCATGGGAAGCATCAGGAAGGAGAAGAGACTGCAGAAGCTGAGTGAAACTGTGTGGTAGGAGATACAACTTCTACACTATCTTTTAGTGGAGATCAAAATTAAAATAAATGGGCATAGGGACATGGAGAAAGCAAGAGAAGCAGAAGATGGGTTTGAATAAAGCTACCACAAGGAAAGAAAGTGAATTGGATCAAGTCATCAGCACACTTGTGGCACACAAGATGTGGTTATCCTGCCATAAAGTGGCAAATCCAAGTTTTGTGTTTGTACAACTTTCTACTCAACAGAGAAGTGAAATAATTTTTTCTCCTTGCCCGTTCAGAAAAGAGAATGCCTGCTGTTAGCTGGAACAATTAAATAAGTTAGAACTGCCATGCATATATCTCAGTATTCTTAACAGGCAGTAGCATTCATGCTTTGTGTAAGATTTATTGGAGGCTTCGAAACCCACAGGTTTACAGTTTAACCACAAGAGATGTTGTCAGTTTTCAGCATTGTTAACCTTCTCAGGGGCCTCTGGGGAGGCAGTCTGGAAGCGTAATGGCAAATTTTGGTGCTCTGTTCTTGGAGTAATTTCAGTCAGACGCATCTTCATGCTGAACATACATCATCTTCCTGTTTTAGATTCTTCATTATTATTGCCAGAAAAGGAAGGCACCCCATGCTCTGTTTCCTACCTTCTGTTTTCCTTGTAGGTCTAGCTTAGCTTGGACACTTGGATCTGAGGTTGTCTCATCACCATATACAGAGGGAAGTATCTATTTATTGTAAACCTGGACATTGCTGTAATTTAAGTAATATATGTGATTATTTACTTGAGAAAGCAGATGAATCCAAGCAGTCATTCTAAATAACTGGAATCTGAAGAGCAAACCATTCTGTGCTAGTGTGGGATTTTCTTCCAAAACAGTTGTAGCAAATCAGTAAGAGCATTCATTGATAACCCTGAGTGTGGCAGGATTAGGGGTTCCTGGCCCTTCCTTGCTGCACACCTCTCAGAAGGGCTTTAATAGTAACAACAGCAATCAGCAGTTGAACAGTCTTTGTTTAACAAACTGCATGCATGAAGCTTTGAGCTCTTCTCCATCTCCAGGGATGCTGCAGTGCTCAGGGTGGAGCTGCAGTTTGGGCCATCTTGCAGCCCCTCTGTGCCCAGTAGGTTCAAGTGCAGCCAGGGAAGCTGCGTGACTGTAAGAAGAGAATTCTGGAATATGTTGCTGGAACTTGGAAAGAACGATTTAGGGAAAACAGACAAGGAATTAATGATGTTTAGATATAACCAGTCTTTGTAAGGAGAACATACTAAGTGGCTTCTTACAGCCATTTATTTCCATTAAGAAAAAAACACATCAATTCTGTGATGAAAATATAGGAATTCCTTCCTGTTCCAGCAGTTCCCATCCTCAAAATACCCCAACCACATCTTTGAGTATCCAGTTGAAACCTTGCCACAATTGGACTCTGTTTTTCTTCAGAGAATACTCATCACTCAGACTCACTCCAGGCCACCTTGGACAAAGAAACAACCTTTTAGTTACTTAGCTCTGGGCACCCAAGATCAGATTTATTTCACTGAAGGAAAAAAAAAAACAAAAGTGTTTCATCATCTGTATTATTTCCCTGCATGTTTTCCCTTCAAAGTTCACAAAGTTAGTGTTTCCAGCACTCTGTGGGAGATATTTTTGTTAGTTTCTTTTTAAACTCCAGATTTCTCAACATAAGAACTTGTCTGTTCACTCTTTATTCAAACCAGTGTCATGAAAATTCTTCTTTTACTTTCACAACTTGTGCCCTTTCCAGAATACTTGAGTCTAGAATGTAATCCACCCTTAAATCTATGAGATTATCATGATAGAATCACCCAAACAATTCCTTGCTTCATTTTAGCAACTGGAATAATGCACTGTATTTGCCCAAACGTATGTAAATGAGCCAAGAAGGAGCTGAATCAAACCCACTGATGTTAGCTACCTTGCAGTGGTTTTTCCTAAGGCACAATTTGTGTCCTTTCCTTTGTACTCTCTGATAACACCTGCCAAAACGTCAAGATTACCTGGGCTTGGACTCCAGCCTCCTGCTTTGACAGCTACATGTGTCTTCCCTGCCATCTGATCTGTAACTCCACTGATTACAGCTACAGCTATACAGATGCTGCTTGTATTGAGACAATAGAGAAGCTGTTTGCAGTCCTTTGAAGAGTTCTCTCCTATTCCTCTGTCTACAGCCCTATTGCTTTTACGTAAAACTTATCCTCAGCTTATCCTTGTGCTTCTGAAGGCACTGCTCTCTTCCCAGAGCGTTTGCTCTGATGATTTGTAGATCAGGAAAAGTGGTAAGCCAGTTTTGTCAGCGTAATTTATGGCCCTCAAGAACATTGTGAGCCTCTGGAGATTTCTGCTAACGTGGATTTATTTAGCTATTGCTCTTATGTTCTGAGATCATCTTACAAATTGCCACCATATAAAATAATTTCCTACTCTCTATCCTTATTAATCTCATTCTACTACGTAGCACAGTGGCATTTTAAGAGCACAATGAATATGATCAAATCTTACATGGTGAGAAATAAATAAAAATCATCTTCTTTACTCTGCCTCCTCCATCTACATTGCTGTATAAATAACAAAGCTGCTGAATGATGGTGGTAGCTATTCCAAAGGAAACATCAATCAAAAACACGTTCAGTGCTACGTGGGGAATGGGCTCATCAGGCACCATGTCTGCTTGGAGAGCCCACCACGTCCTGTGGGACTGGGATGAGCACATCCTTCAAGGGGATGCAGTTAACAAATTAAACATAGGGCTTTTTGTCTAACCTTTGGTTTTCCTCTCTAATGAGTGTCAAATGCTCTGAGAAATACATTCCAAAGTGCATAATGCTTCTATTGGCAGAAATACGTAACCGTGTCATGTCAGTTTTGTTAAGTACAGCATTTGGAAGGTTATGTAAACGACTGCAGCTTTGTTACCAGAAGGAGGTGCAGAGCCATCGAGGAGGTATATTATGAAGAGCCTTACAGCAAATAGGCGCCATGCAAAGGCTCCGTAGCGTGAGACCCCATTGCTGCAGTTTTGAAGATTGTTTTCTTATGTTTTTTGGCAAACAGTCTGAACTTTCCTATGGTCTTGAAATTAATGCTCCAAATTCTGTACGTAATGCTTGTGAAATCCTGCTGATTTCAAAATTTTCCCTGTGTATTTAGCTGGTCACAAAAACAGATACGTGCTGAACTTAAGTAACCACGCTAAATAACACATTCATATCTGAACTTCAAACATGCCCTTCATTTGGAAGGTAATTAAAGACATGCCATATGCTTATGCAATATATGTATCCCAGAGAGGCTACAGAAATGAGCAGCCCAATTTTGCATGGAATGCCTATTTCAAGATTGCTGGTTTTTTTTTTTTTTTTTGGCTAGGCATAGGAAGAACCGTGAAGCGGCCAGTGAACTTCTGATGAGACTGAAGGATAACAGGGATCTTCAGAAGTTTCTTCAGGATTGTCAAGAGGTAAATTATCTCCTTTCAGTGGTATCACTATTAGCTACATCCTGCGGAAGAGCATCCCTGACCCCATATGTTTGGAATAGTCAGTATTTGGCAATCAAGTCATCCAGTGATATTTAGTATGGAGTAAACAATTCACAAAAGAAAACCAGACACCTAGAACCCTCAAGAATTAACCCGTTTGTTGTATAAACTGATTTTTCTCCAGCTCATAACCCAGCTCATAACCCAGAATGTGGTGGGATTAGCACTGAACTCTCATACTAAGAATTTTTCTAGGGCTATGTATGTATATCTGGACTGATCCAGGATCTTTCTTCAAGTGATGTGTACGGAACACTAGTCAGAAAAATAGATGCTTAGAAAAAAGGAGAGCAGAAGTAATGGGGAGTTTTTTAATGTGTGATTTACCTGATAGTTTGCATGTGCTTAAGATTGTTAAGTACCACAATATTTAAAAAAATTCAAAACCAGAAATCCTTTCCAGATTTTCAGATGGCTTACTTGGACTCTTCACTCTGAAAGCAACGTTTTACAGTTCAAATAGCCTTGTTCCTAGCATGAGGAATTAAGTGGGCAATTTTCAGGATATTTCCTGCAATACTGACAGGTACTGAGGATGGCACAGGCCTTGCCTGCAACGTGTGTTAAAAGCTGGCTGTACCTAAAGCCTGCAAAGAAAGGTGACTGTGGGGAAAATGCTTTTAATTTCAAGATAAGGCTACTGCGTTAGCCTTATGTTTTAGCCAGCCACGGGAGACTGGAAGTCACTGCAGTGTGTCTAACTGGAATTGCCCCACAGCTGGGATTTTGTACGAGTAATCATACAAAATGACACTCACAAACTGGGCAGATGATGTTTACTGCTTGGTTGCCTAGATGCAGCCTGTCTTCCTGCATTGCGTAAGTTGACCAGAAACTTGGCTTAAATGTTCCTTCCTTGGTAGTAAAAACATGACAGATTAGCAAAAATTCTGCTGTTATTAGCAACAGCTTCTTCCTTCCTCTGTAACATTTCTAATACAAAAATCCCCCTGGCTTTTGGAGCAGTTCTAGCTTCTGTGTCAATGTGGTGTTCCCTAGGGTTTTTTTTTCCCTAAAGTCACTGAAAGAAAAAGGAACACATAAAAGCTCCAGTGTCTGGCTGCCTGAATGCCTTTTCTCTTGATTGTTTTTCTCCAGCCACTGAAGTATGGATGTCTCGACTGAGCTTTTTGAAGATAGAAAGTACAATATCAAAACATTATAAATTTCTCCAATCCTTTCTGAGAGGATATTAGCCACTGTGACAATTGAATGCTTGTTTTCTGAGAGAACAGCCACGATGAGATGTAGGATGTGTATTGGTGGGATTACAGAGTGCCTGCTGATACCTGCGTTGGGCCAGAGGGACTGTGCCACTTCCAGCACAGCTGCCAGCACTGCCCAGGGAGGGACAGGAGCCAGAGAAGTACCTTGCCCTTTGCTCTTCCATTACCTCTGACCAGGAAGCTGAGTGCTCTTAGCAGGCAGATTTGAATCAGTTCTGTTTCACTGAGCAGTGATCCCTCATCTTTTCTGCCTGCTGCATTCGGGGGGGCTCTCGGTGCAGGGAGAGGCTGAGTGCCTTCTGCAGTGTTCCTCCCTTGGGCAGCTGCCTTCATCAACAGCCCTCCGTGCTGAAGTGTAGATTCCTGCCCCTTTGTGTCCTGCCCCTGGCTGCAAGTGAGGTGATGAGCAGGGTTGGTGGCACTTGAGGAGGTGGCAGGGAATGTGGCTCAGAACAACAGCTCAGCTGTGATAAAGCTTAGCTCTGGGTCACAGGCAAAGAAAAGTGCAGCAGATTTTCGTGTTGTTAGGAGATACACTGGGACAGCAAATCCTAGGGTGCTGCTTTTTTTCTCACATTCATAAATATGAATGTGTTAAATAAATTGTCAGAGTGAATGAAACACAGTGACAAGAGGAAATTCAGAGGACAGGGGGGATTTGATAAATTCTGCTGTTTTGTTTTCTTGGTCTTCCTGCCATTCCACAGCTCACCTTGGAGAAGATTACAGCTGATCTTCCCTGTAAGCACATGAAGCTGAGCACTGCCTGGGCTTGTTTCCCTGGGGATGCCACAGTGAAAGCATTAGGCTGGATTGCACATTTCTGTCTGCCTGCTGGGTGTGCCGGCTTCATGGCCTAAAAGCTAGCTCTGCTGCCATTAGCAGCTGGCTCATGTTTTGCTGGGTAAATGAGTACCCCAAACATCAGGCACTGTTTTAGCAAATGATTGTATAATTTTTTCAAATCCAATCCTGTGCTGAAAATACCGACTTCCAGGGATCGTAGTGCTTTCAAAAGCCAGATTTTAAGTCTCCCCTGAAGTGCTTTGGTTGTGCTTCTGTGTTATCAGAAGGAATGGAATAGCACTGTGAAAGTCAGAGCTTTTATCCTGGCAGCCACCAGCTGACTGCATACCTCCGTCCGTCCATGTCTCAGCTGACCCCATCTGCTGAACAGACCTTCCTGCCTTGCTTTAGGAAGCACTTTTAAATCCTCAGAAGGCTTAATGCAGTGGCTGAGTGAATGCAAACAATGAAAGATGAGCAGTGCAGTTTTCAGACTATAGCAGCTGTCTTCTGGCTAGAAAGGTAGGAGTGAAGCTCCTTGTTTCAGGCTGCACAGCAGTCCTTGATGTAGCCTGTGACTGTTAAGTAGCCTGGCAGCCTGCTACCTGAAATCTTTGAAGCTTATGGAGATCTTCATTAACATGAGTATTTTTCTGTTTAGACTTGAAAGCAAAATCAAATGAGTTTCTTTGATGGTTTAGGTTTTTGGTTTTTGTTTCTGTTTGGTTTTTTTTTTAATTGCTTTGGTTTTTCCCTTTTTGTAGAACTCAACAGTACCTGTAAGGGACAATTTTAAAAGTCTTGTGTATCTGAATGAATTTGTTGGGAACTGGCAAGTCCTGCCTGTGTTCTGTTACTCTTTTTTGTCAGGCTGCTTCCTTGGCAAGACGGCGTGCATCACAGATGTGCCACTCTAGGAAAAAAGCTTAGATTTGTTTTGACATTTTGCTCTTTGACAGGTAACTTTATATATGCAGAAATTAAATCTTTTGCAAGTTCTATAAACATTCCAACGAGTGTTTTTTCTCATCCACACCTTAGAAACAGATTGAGCAGAAAGACTCATTGTAAGAGGAAATTGGATGTTGGCTGCTACGATCACTTTCACATTCCATTTGCCCTTGGCCAATGAGCTATTTATAAAGTATTGATTTTTCCCCAGTGTTGATCTGAGAATTGTTCTCATTGTCTTTGTATTTGAGGAAAATCAGAACACAGTCAGCTTTGGATTTTATGTAATGGCAAAAGGAATGTCTTTAGTACCAAGAACCTTGCTGGAGGCCAGACAAATAAACAAATTCAAGTGTTTATTTAACCTATGGAAAGAAAAGATGGTAGGGAAAGCTAAAATGTGGTGTGAATTAATGGTCTAAAACCATCTTTATTCTTAAAGCTTTTAATGCGAATAGAACTACCGTGTTTCTTCTCATTCAGTGTTTCCATGAAAGATTTACCACAGGCTCTGTGTTACTCTGGAGAGTGACTTTGGCATGCCACTCCATTTGTGTGCACTTCTGCTGTGTCCTGGGGAAACCAGTAAGGCTCCACAGGGGCGTGGTGGTGACATTCAGGTCTTCATCTCAAGTAGCAAGCACAATGAATAATGTTGCAAGGGAAGAACAGCATGAAAGTACACTGTGGCCACAAAGTAGGACGTGTCCCTGCTTCTTTTCCTGTTGAGCTGGCAGAGACCTGCGTGTTTGATTTTGCTCGTGATGGATCTGGTTCCTTTCTGTCTGGATTTGGGGTTGTTTGTATGTCAGAGATGGATGTTAGTTGTTAAAGAGGCAGATCCTTGACTGAATCCTAAGTAAAAACAGTCTGTGAATCCCATGCATTTTGATACTTCGCATTATTTCCTGCTACAAATATTATTATGAACACCTGTGTGTTTACTTTTTCAGCTCTCACTCTGGATCAATGAGAAGATGCTTACAGCCCAGGATATGTCTTACGATGAGGCAAGGAACCTGCACAGCAAATGGCTGAAGCATCAGGCATTTATGGCAGAACTTGCATCCAACAAAGAATGGCTGGAGAAGATTGAAAAGGTAACTACAGAATGTCCAAAATGTGCCCCTGTTTGTGTCAGAGACAGTTATGCACGAAGAGGAGATCTGTTCTTCTGCAGGACTGGTCCTTGTATTATGTGTTCAGATAAGTCAAAAGGAGGTCTTTTAGTAGGATAACTATCTGTCTCATTTTGTCTCCAGCTAATCCATTTTATTCCTCATCCATCGTAAATATTTTTATCCAAGACATATTCATAGAACACATAAAGGCTAAGTTGACAGTTTGATTTTGCCTAATTCTTACCTGTTAGGAGTAAGGTAGAACCTGTTTTTCATGCCCCAAAAGTGAAGAGGGCAAATGTTGAGATTTGGGCTAATAAAGGACAAGTACAGGCCGGGAAATAACTGAACATAGATAAATGTAGACACACATACTGCCATGGTGGTTGTCATTCTTTCAGGAATGTCAGGCAGCCTTTTCACATGCCAACTTAATGTAAGAAGCAAAAGTACAGCCAGTTTTGTAATTAATTAATAGATTCACAGCTCCGTGTCACCAACTTACTATGAAGGCTTTTATATTCTGTCATGAGCTGCACTTTTTTCCCACCAATTTCTCCAATGTGCAACTTTGGGAAACTAAGAAAGAAAATTAAACTGTCCTTAGTCCTGACAGTGAGGTTTCTGTTCAGTGTAAGTTAGCTTAATTGCTTATTTCCTTTCCCGCTTTGGCACTCTGTATCCCATTAGAGGCTTTTCTCTGATCTGCAAATAGCAATACCCCTTAATGGTGTAATTAAAAGGCTGCTCTTAGTACTGGATGTACTTTTTTAGTAATGCTAGCACATCCTCATTCTTTACCTCTGAAAAATCAGATTGCAGCGAAGTATCAAAGTTTTGTATTGAGTCACAGCTGACAGTCACTGTGTTAATGTTTTCAGGGTCACTGCCAGTAAGAGTTCTGGGCTGTCAGTAGTGTTCACATCAGAGAAATTCATCCGTTGTTAGCACCACCTAGCTGCAGAGGTAGAAGTATAATGAGAAAGAAAGAATTTCCAAATAGAATCTCCTTATTGATAAAAATATATTTTAAGTCCAAGTGTTCTGCTGCTATGTCCTGCTTTCCAAGGGAGAATGTTCTTCTCTGACACTAGCTTAAGTGCATGGGAATTGCTGTGACCCCCTGACATATCCCCCTTAAGTTACACAGCTTCATTTTCATGACATAAATTCCCTCTCCCAGCGTTACACTGGATCTGCAGCACTCCCTTGGTGAGGTGCCCCAGGAAAGGCAGGTGGGCAGCTTGTTCAGCTGCAGTTCCATTCTGTCACACAGGTATGGGGGGCAGCCTGCCCCACTGCAGTCCAAGCAGCATCCCTGGAAGTCCCACAGAGGAACATGAGTAGTGGGGACAAGAAAAGAGGTGTTGCTTGACCTTCCTGTTGCCAAAAAACTCTCTTCCTTGCAACAGAAGGATGTGGGAGATGTTGTTCTGGAAAGAGTCATTGGATAATTGGAGATAGAAAGTGAGTGGTTGATGTTGCCAGCAGATGAAAAATCATGAATGCTTGCTAATTGGAATAATTTCACTAGCCGTCTGTGAGTGCTCCTGAAGAGAAACCATTTTGCTTGCTCTTTGCTTTGCAGGAGGGAATGCAGCTCATTGCAGAGAAACCAGAGACTGAAGCTGTAGTGAAAGAAAAGCTAACGGGTCTTCATCAAATGTGGGAAGAGCTCGAATCCACTACTCAGACCAAGGCTCAGCGTCTCTTCGATGCAAACAAGGCGGAGCTTTTTACCCAGAGCTGTGCTGATTTGGATAAGTGGCTGAATGGTTTGGAGAGCCAAATTCAGTCGGACGACTACGGAAAAGACCTCACCAGTGTCAACATCCTATTGAAGAAACAGCAGGTAAAGAGAGCACAGGTTACAGAGCAGGCATTGAGCATCTTCCTGCACTCAGAGGAGTGGGAGGGGAGATCCTTTCAGTTTAGAAAAAATCTTATTATCTTTTCCTTCTTCTTCTTGCTCCATTTATCTTTAAGAAGCAAAAACATTCAGAAACAAATCAGCCATACATTTCTTGATGCAGTCATTCCCTTGTACTTCCTTCCCTCCCTACCCTATTATCTATTATCACTGGTGGTAGTCCTCCAGTCACCAGTGTCTGCATGCTTCCCAGATGTGTCCAGTGCTAGTTGGTCCCTGGTTTCTTGCAGTAAAGACAGTGAGGACATCAGGGGACAGTGAAGCTCTCATCTGCAATTAGCAATGCTCCGATATTGTTCAGTGTAACTTGTGAACGACTGATAGAAGTGATTTATCTGCTCCCTGTTGGCCAGATTTGCACAAACAGGCATAACAGGAATACTGGCAGGTGGCTGCAGTTGTTGTGAAAGAGTGAATCTGTGTTTAAACCTTGTACTTTGCAGCAGGAATACTACAGTGATTATTAATACGATAAACCCTTACCAGCATCTGTTCTTCCTTCTTATGAAGCTATTGACATGCCCTAGTTTTATAAATTGCTTTTACCCTATTTTTGAAGTTTTTTTGCCATGTTTCTGTTTTAGATGCTAGAGAATCAAATGGATGTTCGTAAGAAGGAGATAGAAGAGCTACAAAGCCAGGCACGGGCTCTAAGTCAAGAAGGGAAGAGTACAGATGAAGTAGATGGTAAACGCCTTACTGTTGAAAAGAAATTTTTGGAGTTGTTGGAGCCTTTGAATGAAAGAAAAGCCAACCTGCTGGCCTCCAAAGAAATCCACCAGTTCAACCGGGATGTGGAGGATGAAATTGTAAGTATAAAAGAAGTCTCGTTCCTCAGACACTAGGAGATAATCACATCTTTCACAGAGCTTAGGATAAACCTTTCAATCATGTCTCAATAGCATGTTATAATAATGCTGCTTTTTGCACCTTGTTAATGCTCTCTGTTGTTCTAGCTGTATCTGGGGTTGCATTAAAACAGATGTGCTCTTTTTCTCTTGCTTTCAGCTGTGGGTTGGAGAGAGGATGCCTATAGCAACATCTACTGATCATGGACACAACCTCCAGACTGTGCAGCTACTGATAAAGAAAAATCAGGTAGGTGCTGTCAGGACTCCCCCCTACCTGTTACTTCTCCTTAGCACTGACTAGTTGAGTAAAGAAGGGCCTGGGGCAAAATTATGGATCCTTCAGTGGTGGTGTGATTGTGGTGGAGAGTGGCATATTCCAGGACACTCTTGATGGCCAGAGCCCCAGTTTAACCCCAGGATCCGAGGGCATGTGTTTTGCTGCCCCTCTAGAGGTGAGACCCCTGACCAGCATTTCTTTTTTTGTTTGTCTGCGTTTCTCCTTTATAGACACTTCAGAAAGAAATCCAAGGGCATCAGCCTCGTATTGATGATATTTTTGAGAGGAGTCAAAACATTATCACGGACAGTAGCCCGAATGCTGAAGCAATTCAGCAGAGACTTGCAGACTTGAAGCAGCTGTGGAACCTCCTAATTGAGGAGACAGAGAAACGCCACAAGCGCCTGGAGGAGTCCCACCGGGCACAGCAGTACTACTTCGATGCTGCTGAGGCTGAGGCCTGGATGAGTGAGCAGGAGCTTTACATGATGTCAGAAGAGAAAGCCAAGGTGAGCAGCTTTGCTGTGACACTAGTTTGATTTCAATTGCTTAGCTACAGGCGGGCAGGTGACATAATTTAATATGTCACTCGTGTAACGGTAACATAAACAAACCTATTTCCCTTCTGAAAGCTCCAGCGATCATCTCTTCTGTCAGTTCTGACATCTCAGATAGTGTGGATGATAGGCCTTGCTGCAGAGTCAGGCTCAGACTGTGCATGGCAACTGTGTGCTTTCCTTTACTGTAAAGTGAGGTTTACCAGTACAGTCCAGTTAGATCAAGATTTCTATCAGTTCTGAGTCACTAGGAACAGCACGTTGCAGCTGTCTGTGAAGCTGGCCTGGTGGTCAGTCAGTGGATGCCACAGCTGCTGGCCTGTCCTTACTCCCAGCATAGTGAAATCAAAACAGCATCAGACCATACCAGACTAGTTGAATTTCTATTTTCCAATAGTGTGGCAGGTACAGCAATGTGCTGTGTTCGTTTATTTGATAAAATAAAACCCTGCTTAGTATTTGTATAACACATTTCATCTTCACCCTTCTGTTAACAAAGATTTGTGTCCCTTTTTATGTTTAAGCAAGGCAAATGGAAAGGATTATTAATGTCAGTGGTTGATAACAAAAAATATTTTCCTGAAAAGGCTTATTGACAATATTAATTAACATTGAGGGTTGTTTTTTATTTTTTCTTTTCAACACGTGAGAAGTTTTTATGAGAATGCTCCCAAATGCTTTGGTGAAGAACCCTTTGGCATGAGCTCATTAGGATTTCTTGTCTTAATCCAGGTTGTAGTTGGAAAGCCTGCCCAGTGAGGTACCTAAAACTGTTCCACTTCTCTGAGCTCTCCACTATCGCTGATGTTGTGTAAACACACAAAGAACTTCATAGAAGAAGAAATTGAATGTGCTCAATTTGCAGCTGATGTGGTTTTGTTCTCCCTCCCAGTGGAGCTGTTGCAATTCACTCTTTTTTTCTCATTATTTTGCTTTCTGTGTCCACCATTTACTGAGAACTCAGTTGTTAAATTACAACCATCAGAGGTTTGGAGCAGTTCTTTATAAATCTTTGTGGCTGCTGCTCTTTGCTCATACAACAAGATGAGCTTGCCATGTGGAGTCTTTCAGTGAGTGGGGAGAATGGACCTTCATTTTCTGTCACCATTACAGGATGAACAGAGTGCAGTATCCATGTTGAAGAAACACCAGATTTTGGAACAGGCTGTGGAAGACTATGCTGAGACTGTGCACCAGCTTTCAAAGACCAGCAGAACTTTGGTGGCAGATAATCATCCTGAAAGGTATTAAATGCTGTTTTAAATTGTATCATGCGTTTGTTTAGTAGTTCAGTCACTTTGCTGGCTAATTCTGATGCAAAGAGACCATAATAAAGAGAAAATAACTCTGGAGACTGTACAGGAGAAGCTGAGTTGAGTTTCACTCAGTTCAAGATGCATGTTGGACCAACCTGATTTGGCCAGACACTGGATTTTGGGAGAAACAGCATGCGGAGTGCAGTTTTCTGTCCTGAACTGTATGTCCAACTGTTGACTTCTGGGTAGTACTGCACACATTCAGTAGATGCCTGTTGTGCCTTTTATACAGGCTAGTGATGTCAGGTCTGCCAGCTCTGCTGAACTGAATGGAAGTACAGCAGTCCTTAGAGACAAGGATCTGTCTTCACTCTTTAAGCCAAATTTATATCCAGATCATAGGGTGACAGCTATTTGTCCTTCTGTCTTAAAGGAGTGCTCCCCAAGATCTACTTCTTCTCTTTAAGATTTCAGAAGAATCAGACTTGAGTCTGTGTTTTAAACGTGGGCATTGTAACATCTGGGTTTTGGTTAATTTGTCTCAACATTCATAAATGGCTTTCCCTGTGGGAGAATTCAAGAAGAGCAAGAGCTGTTTTGTTCTAAGAGCTGCAGCTAAGCAGAATCCTCCTTTGGCTTTGACTATGAGGCTGATTTGATGATGAGGCTGACATGTTTAACTGCCCTAGCTGTGCAGATAGGAAGATAGAACAATCTTAGCAAAAACACTCTCCACCCCTGGTAAAGGTTGTTATTTAACTCAAAAGCACTCTCTTGTGGTCGTCAGAATTTCCAGTGAGAGTGGATTTCCTGGCTGGGCTGGTTGAGTACTGTAGTAACAGAATCATCTTTAGATGGAGATGGGAAGGCAGGACTCACAAAAAAAAGGTGAAAAGATAAGGCAAGTAGAGACATTAATTGCTTTTGGAAATACTGAGCTTTAGGGAGTAAGAAACCCATCAGTGCTTCTGAACTTTGGAGCAGAATTTAAATGAAAATGAAATGTTCCTTGACTCAGCAGCTCAAATCCTGCTTATTGTTATGGGAAAAAAACTCTAGGGTAATCTGTGGTGAAACAAATGGACTTCTTGGTTCCTAGCTTTACTCTCTTAAGCCAGCAGGCTTATATGTACACGGGGCAGAAAGAATTCCAGCTAGTGCAGTCAGCTGTTCCAGCAGAGGATCGATCCAGGGTGTGTGAGCCAAATTTCTGCATATAGCAGGCACACTTTCTGGGTGTTAAACTCCCAAGAGTGATTTTTATCCTCATTTTATTTTTTCTTGTTATTTGTAAGAGACAGTGAGGATTCAGTGTTCTTTGTTTTTTTTTCAGTGAGCGTATCAGCATGCGCCAGTCCAAAGTGGATAAGCTGTATGCAGGCCTGAAGGATCTAGCAGAAGAGAGAAGGGGCAAGCTGGATGAGAGACACAGGTTGTTCCAGCTGAACAGAGAGGTGGATGACCTGGAGCAGTGGATTGCTGAAAGGGAGGTGGTGGCTGGATCCCATGAGCTGGGACAGGACTACGAACACGTAACGGTAAGTTTTTTGGATACGGCTGCAGGTTTACCTTTTTTTTGCACGCAGCAAACAAGTGGATGGTCGATGTAACCGGTTTGAATGGTTTGCTCTGATCTCTTTGTGATTGTGACCTTGCATGAATGTGTTTCTGTGTGTTTCAGATGCTGCAGGAGCGATTCCGAGAGTTTGCCCGAGACACTGGAAACATTGGACAGGAGCGCGTCGACACCGTGAACCACATGGCTGATGAGCTCATCAACTCTGGACATTCAGATGCTGCCACAATTGCAGAATGGAAGGATGGTCTCAATGAGGCCTGGGCTGATCTCCTGGAGCTCATTGATACGAGAACACAAATTCTTGCAGCCTCTTATGAACTGCACAAATTTTACCACGATGCCAAGGAAATCTTAGGACGCATTCAAGACAAACACAAGAAACTGCCAGAAGAGCTTGGTAGAGACCAAAACACAGTGGAAACACTACAGAGAATGCACACAACGTTTGAACACGACATCCAAGCGCTCGGCACACAGGTGTGTATCAATTAATAAGACTGTCTGTGGATATAGAAACTTGAGCTGCAGAGTGCTTCCACTGCATTTGGCCCCAGAGGCTGGCAGGCTGAGTGCTGGCAGCTGCTTTCCAAGTGCATTCCTAGAGGAATTACTTCTTATGCATCATTTTCTTATCTGTTTTTTGACTTTTTTTTATTGTACTAAGTTAATTAGTTTCCTTAAAACAGAAATCCACGGATTTCTGGACAGATAGTTGCCTCTTGAACATTATTCCTTCTCCTGCCCTTGTTTGGAGAAGCAGTCATAAAAGCTGAGAATTTAGAAATGTGCTGTGATGTCACCTGCCAGTCTCAGCCTGCTGCCTGCATAGGAATAGAGTGTGGATATAGAGGTGTGAGGATAACACACCTGAGCTCCTCAGAAGGCCTTTTCCTGATGCTCCAAGCAGCTGCAGCATTAGCAGAACACCAAGTCGCTGGTACAATAGGAAAATAAATAGTTAGTCTCAAAGAAAAATTTTCATTTGACTTAGGATATTGTCTCTTCAGGCAATTTCTGAAAGTCATTGAAGAGATGTTAGCGCTCTCAAGAGTTTTTAATATACAGGGATAACATGGAATACAGTTTTCAGGTTTCTCTGTTCTGAACGTTCTTCTTGGATATTATTCATATAAGTTGTGCTGGAAGCCATCTTAGGTTTGCTTACCCCTTGTGCCATGTTCACCTTGGTGAACACGAGCCACAACTGGCTGCCCATGGAAGAAAGAAGGAAGGATATGTGGGGGGCAGAAGCAAATACTAAGAGATGTGTGAACTTGCAAAATAGAAAGCAAACCACACCAACAAGAAACAGCACCACCAACGGAAAAAAAAACCCACCCTCCTCTGCTAGGTACTTTTCTATTTTCTTTTCTGAGTGGCAGAGAAAGTCTGGATCCCTACAGAGAAGCTTTCTGACTTGGTTATGAGTTTATGCTTTTGGACACGAATCTTGTTTTTTATGATGCTTCTTAATAGCATTCTGCAGGAATTTCAAGTGCATAGTCCAAGCTAAGATTTTGAAAAGCAGCCAAACTTGATCTAATTCTTTAACTTATGAAGCCAAGGTATGATAAACAGAAGAAGGCAGCTGTTCATCCAACACGCTCAGGATTCTACACCAAAAAAACAGTGTTCAACTGCCAGAGTGAGAATTTTGGAAAGGAATCACATGTTTAAGAAATGGGGGAATTAAGACTGACTGCATTTATCCCAGTAGGATGGAAAAGAGAGCTTTTATGGCTGAGCTGCCTGCCAGTTCTCTATTATGTTGCAATATACATAGTTGTTTACACTAGTATAAAGGAGGTGTAGCAACCATTGGATTTTTCAAGTGTTTTACTTTCAGGAGCTGTAGATTTTATACATGAAATGAGAAATGTTCACAAAATACCAATCCTAGTCTCTCAAAAGGTAATTAGAATCAAGACCCAAATGAGGGAATATGTAATCATAGTGCAGAGCTATGGTGAATCACTGTGGTAATGGCATCATACGTGTGCCTCCAGCTAGTAATTTTGCATTCAAACTTCTTTAAAATAAATTGGTTAGAAAAGAGCTAATGGAGTTGGGAAAATGTGTGAAATGGTCAAGAGATAGCATTTGATGTTCCCAGATAGTGTTTGAAAGGAAAAGAGTTCTCTAATAGCAGAAGGGTCTTTGCATTTCCAAATTTGCTGCTGTTTGAAATCATTATCCACATTTTTGAAAAAGCATCTCTTACATCAGCCAGAGTTGCTGAGTGGCGTTCTGTCACTTGTGTGAGGGGAAGAAAACCTGATGAGGAATTTGTTCCCTTTTGCCCTAGAATTTAACAGTCACTTTATATTGGCACCCAGTTCTACACAAAGTTTATGCAGTGGCAAATGTTTGTTATTCTGGGGGCTCGTTGACCCAACGGTCTTCTCCAATAAATGTTCTTGTAGGGGTACACCAACTTAATAATAAAATAAACCTTTCTATATTGACAGACCAAATATATTGGCAAGGAACACAGAAGGCAATTCAAATTATGAGTTAGCAGCTGAAACGCTCCCACATATGTGACTCAAAAGTACCTGACACCTTTATCTCTTGTAAACACACACCAGGTAAGACAGCTCCAGGAGGATGCTGCACGCCTTCAGGCTGCCTATGCTGGAGACAAAGCTGATGACATCCAGAAGAGAGAAAACGAGGTCTTAGAAGCATGGAAGGCGCTGCTGGATGCTTGTGAGGGCCGCAGGGTTCGGCTGGTGGACACAGGAGACAAATTCCGTTTCTTCAGCATGGTTCGGGATCTCATGCTTTGGATGGAAGATGTCATCCGGCAGATTGAAGCCCAGGAAAAGCCAAGGTAATGTAAGAAACATCTTGTGTGATACCACACGAAAGATAAGGCTGCAGGTCAGTTCAGGAGCATTTATAACACTCAGTGTCACTGAGCCAGAAACTCGTGAGGCTGGCAAGATGTGGTGGTGTGCTGGCAGCTTGCTTTTGTGTACTGCTGCCTGCAGAGGCTGGGGGGTACTGAAGTAATTGCAATGGAAAATCGTGTTCAAAGAGATTGTCAGCAGCCTTTCCACAGCAACAGCAGCATTCTGGTGCCAGTCAGATGCCCGATAAACAAATCCTGTTTTCTGGACTACAAAGACAACCTATGAATTAAATTCTGTGCTGTACCATTGCGGGTTAGATGATTTATTTGAAAACTGCTTTTATGTCTGAAATATATGATTCTGAACCATGGATTGACTATTCTAGGGATGTTTCATCTGTTGAACTACTAATGAACAATCACCAGGGTATCAAAGCAGAAATTGATGCCCGAAATGACAGCTTTACTACCTGTATCGAGCTCGGCAAATCTCTTCTGGCAAGAAAACACTATGCATCAGAGGAGGTATTGTGCTTACTGAATGTGTAACAACTGCAGTGCTGATGGCATGTAGATTCTAGTTCAGCTAGAGAAACTGTCATTGTGTTATCTGTGGATTAAAAATGCATGTTTATAACATCATGCATTACTTCAAGGTCCTTATCTGCACTTATCTGCTAATGTGAAATTAGCGTGTGATTTAATGCCAGGAATTCACGTTGGAAAGCAGGAATGACACCTAAATTTAAGGTATCATTGTCCATTCAGGAAATGCAACAAAGCTGCTGCATTCAGGTCTGCAGGGAGCAGTCTTTGGGATGGTCATGCTTGGAAAAGTGTTTCCTTTGAGCAAGAGCAGAGACAACTCTGAGGGTGCCTGGATTTTGAAGGAGCCTGCTAGGGAAAGGAGTAGCAAATTGTTTATGGGGGGCAAATCCAGGGTATCCAGCAGCCTAAGGCCTTGCTTTGTTTTCTGATCTGACTAGACCAAAGAATAGCAGTTAAATCTTGTTTCTTCCTGCCTTCCTTTGGCCAAAGGAGGGTAGCCACTGCTTGTAGGACACTGCCCACGCAGGAAGGCAATATTTTCTGCATCTTCATTGTACGTAAGTGCTGCAGAGGAACTGGGAAGTTTTGCTAGCCAGTATTTGCCCTGAGAATAATATGGGGCTTATGCTGACACATTATTGTTAGCACAGGTAATGAGGTTTTTAATGGCAATCATGGGCAGATGTTTTGCATTCTTTCCAGAAAAAAGATGAAAGATAAAGTACGTTTGCACCATTTGTTTGTCCATTGTGCTCTTTTTACCAAATAATCTTGATAACATAGTTCTTAAGAAATACTGTATGCAGATGTGATATTTTAATACAAACTTTATATTTATTTCTACTTCAAAAATAAGGAAAGCTGTTATATTCATACCAAGTCATTTTCTGGCAAACTAGTGCTGTGTTTCCATTCATTAAATGCCTGTGTCTTTTGCTTGTGGTAACAGCTTACATGCTGTGGTGGGGTGAATGTGATGCCTGATGCTTATGTAACAGTCCTGCATTCTCCTCTTAAATCCAGATCAAGGAAAAGCTACTGCAGCTGACAGAAAAAAGAAAAGAAATGATTGACAAGTGGGAAGACAGATGGGAGTGGCTGAGACTGAGTAAGGACGTCCTTGGATTTTTCTTGGCAGGGCCATACCTAACTCTCTCCTCTGTCTTTCTGAGCACTGAAAAAACCTACAGCTCCTTACCTTTTTTTATTAGCCTTGTTTGAAAGCACACTTGTACTGCATTAACTGTAGAATTCACATCTGTTAACTGTAAAATAATGGAGAACTTGAAACAAAGAAATCTGCACTGAAGATGTTACTCTGTATGCCTAAAGTTAGAGCTGGGTGAAATAGATGTAGCATGTTTTGCAGGTGTCATCTTTCAACCGTGTTTCTACAGAGGATGTGCTAACAAAAAATATGGGGAAGCAAAGTCTTGTTACCTTACACATGTAACATACTTGCATTATCTGACAGTTTATTGACAAAAGTTGTACCTTTAAGCATTGCAGCATTTTTCAAGTTCTTCACCAGAAATAACACAATTCAGAAACTCTAATAAGGGTTTCTCTAGCTCTTGTAGCAAACAGTTGCCAGTTTGTACATCTCAGTGCAGAGTAATCATTTGGTAGAGCTCTGGGCTGCTGTGTGTACTTCCTTCATTCTTCCTAAGTCTCAGCGGGTTTAAGAAAAAAGGTAGCATGAGGAACTGCCCCTAAGTGTTGGTGTTGTGTCATGTTCTTCATCAAAATTGTGTGATCTCATTCACAAAAGCTGCTGAAGCTTTTTTTCAGCTGGAAGGAAAACTTGAACTACAGCACTGTAGACATGCATGAAGTACAGAAATACTGCTTGCTGAAGGGACTTGCAGCCTTCATCGTGTTTGGTAGGAAGGCCAGTCTGAGGAATAAACCAGCAGAGAGAGAATTTCTGCTCTGAATTTACTTGGTTACAGCAGATTAGAACCAAAAGGAAACACAGAAATTAGAAAGTGAAATAATCTGTAGAAGATATAAACTTCACTTTTGTTTTTCCTCAAAGCAAAGCCGACATGACAAATTTCTGTCTTTTAAATCATTAATTTCAGTGAGCTTAGTTAAGGAAAACATTGAGCCCGATGCTATTTTGAAGTAAATTCAGCTACTCTGAGGTAAATTCAGAAGATGCCTGATAACTTCGCGATGCCATTATAATATGTGTACATTCTTCATTCAGTTTTGGAGGTGCATCAGTTTTCAAGGGACGCGAGCGTGGCTGAGGCCTGGCTGCTGGGCCAGGAGCCCTACCTGTCCAGTCGTGAAATAGGACAAAGTGTTGACGAAGTGGAAAAATTAATTAAGCGGCATGAAGCATTTGAGAAATCTGCAGCTACTTGGGATGAGAGATTTGCAGCACTGGAAAGACTGACCACGGTGAGTGCTGGTGGTGCAAACTTCTGACCATTCCCCTCTATGGCGGTGCCAGCTGATTGTTACAGGAACTCCCATCACCACCAACCTAACCTCCATTTCTTGGCCCTGTGGAGCGTCAGCCAAGGCCAGTCACCCAGGGCCTGAAGTTTCATATTCCCAACCATACAAAAACCTTTTCAGGTTCATTTCAGCTCAACAGCATGCAGAGAATGATTAAGTGATGAATGACCTTACTGGTAACGAGTTGTTGTAGACCCAAGAGTGATGGCAAATTCTGGAGTTAAACAATTTGCTCCAGCCCTCTGATATAAAGGCTGTACTGACAAAAGGAAAGGGAGACTCTGAGAGAAGAAGACCCAGATCCAACTCTTGAAAATATTTTTAGTTAAAGAGGACAGTGTGGGGAGGAGGTTTCAACAAAAATGTTTGTTGTGTTTTGACTGCTCCAGTACAAGGCTGTGTTCTCTGCTACAAATACACGGTAAACAGCAACAGCAAAAATTTTCAGGAGAGCTGCTACATCAGTAATTAATACCCAGAGAACACGTTGCCATCTTTAGAGAATAATTTTATTAAGACACTAAAATTGAAGTAGCTTGATTTTTCACATGCACGGAGCATCACAGCTGCAGACAAAGTTCATTTGAGTTTATCAAGATCTTAAAAAATCAAGCTGTTCTTGTTTAGATGGTTCACTTCAGGGCTTCGCGTGAAACATTTTACTTCTATGTATGTCAAGCAGATGAGGATGTCACTTCAGTATTTGGGTAGCTTGGGTTGCCTTTATATTTGTTTGTTTTGTGTTAATGAAATGAATTAGATAAGAAATCTGGACAAGTGCCAGGCAGCTGTGCCAGCACTCCATTTGATGCTAAGAGTCTGATGCTGTGTGGCTTTATTGACAAATTTGGTGCGACAAACTTTGCATGATTAATAGTTTTAAAGACTTGTGCTTTCAAATTTAATCCCAATAAACTTTAATTTCAGGAGTTTCAGAAAAATGCAGAGATTATTCTTACTCTCTAGAAATGTACCTGAAAAATGGCTGAGTTGCAGTGCTTTATCATGTTCAAAAATGTTTCATTTCTCAGTTGGAACTGCTGGAAGTTCGTCGACAACAAGAGGAAGAGGAGAGGAAGAGAAAGCCACCTACTCCAGAGCCAAGCCCAAAGGTTGCAGAAGATGGAGGCTCCCAGCAGCAATGGTAAGTCCGTGATGCAGGAAGCTGAAGTATGTGCTTCATGCAGTTTCCTGTGTTGGGATGCATAAAAGGGAAGTCTGGAGGTTGCCTGTTTTTGTGGTGTAACTCTTTTTAGAAGACTTCAGAGATGCAGTTGGTGGGGCCACGACTTTTGCAGGCATCTGAATTCCTGCTAAGATGAATGTTCCAATTTTTCATCGTGAAGCAGTTACTGCTGTTAATACACACCTGGCCTTTAAGTAAAAAGGCTACACAGCCTTTTTATACTGCCTGTGTGTCATGAATTAATATTTCCAAGCAATCTCGTACTTCTCTTTTAATGAGCATCAGTCACAGATAGATTTTAAGCCACGTCCATGGAGCATTAACATTTACCAAATTACTTGTGTGATAGGAGTAGACCTTGTGAAGTAATTATCACAAAAGCCTCCTTTGATCAAACTACTTTGGATTTCTTTTACTCAGTTGGCCATTTTTTCCTTTGCTTCTGCCACTGCAAGTGGAAATCTGTTAAAGGCTTTTACAGTGCTGTCAACAAATGACTTGGCAGTTGTTAAGAACTTGCTTGCAATTCTGAGATGTGCAAAATTCGGTATGAAAATCTTGTTTGGGAGAAAAAGATGACTGACTTTCAAAAGCCTAATAAAATTTCTCTTTCCTTTTTCTCAACAGGGATGGGACAAAAGGAGAACAGGTTTCCCAAAATGGTTTGCCATCAGACCAGGAATCTCCACGGGTTAGTTACCGCTCCCAAGCCTACCAAAACTACAAAAACTTTATTAGCAGACGGACAGCCAATGACCGATCGTGGTCTGGACTGTGACATACAATCATTTGCAGCAAAAGACACCTTTTTTTTTTCAGTATGGTCTACTGGTACTGGTTTAATCTTTTGGCTTCAGATTTCCCTGCTGCTTTTCTCTTCCTTCCCATCAGTTGACTTCTATTTAATTAGCAGATCCTTGGAGATATATTTGTTTCACTTTAATCCTTGTTTATTTGAATATCCCCACTGACACTCAGTTGCTTTAAGGTGACACATTTATTTCATGTTATTTACTATGAGTTTTTCATGTTGTTAATAGTATTAAGATTTTCCAGCTAAACCATCCTTTTATGAGTAATTGAGATTTAATGAGATTACATCATAATGAAGAAGAGAACTAGAATCTGACAGGTATGACGCATCGAGTTGTACTAACAGGTTTCAGCACGGCAACGTTATTAAATCAGCTGCATTAGCAAGTGAGTTATTCACAAGGCCAAAGACAATACCTGCAAGTGAGCTCAGCAGTGAAGGCTAGGAGGGTGGGGGGTGTTGTAACTACCAACAAATTAAAAGCCTTAAGATTAGCTGTATAACATTCCATGTAGAATGGACTCATTGACTGCAGATAAAAATAAACATGAAATAAAACAATAAAAAATAGTTTCTAGATTTATCTTGGTATTTAGTCCTAATGAAGAGTTGTGATCATACTGAGTAGCTGTTTTGGGACCCCATTTATTCTCCTGTCCAATTTATGCAACAGCAATTTTGTTTCCTGACCCTGGAGATAAAGTGGTATAAATGAGAGTAGGTTGTGGACCCTTAAAAGAGGGGTTGTCATGCTTTTCTCTGAAAGTGAAATAAAGTACATTGGTCTAAGATTCCAGCTCTGTATTTTCTATAATGTGGGCTGAATTGTCCATTCAGTCCTTTTTGACAGAGGATATTCCAGTGGAGTCAAGATGCATGCCAATAAGTAGAAATACCAGTAAATATGTATATGTATTTAAAGCAACAAAAGAATAGCAAACTGGCTTTACCCCTTCATTACCTTCCTGCAAAGCCAACTTGTTTGAAACCGATGCCTAGAATCATGGGGAAAATCTCTCATGTTGTCTATTGTGTTTTTGAACCTCACTCTCTGATGTCATACTAAGCTCAGGAAAGGCTCCTGGCAGGCTCAAGTCAATGGGTATCAGAGCTCCTACCAGTAGCACAGGGGAAATATGGGTCCCAGTTTAGGACTGTGGGAAGAATGCCTTCCAGCTTAAGTTCACCTTTCAATTTGTGCATCCAAGTGACTTCTGAATCTGCACACTGTTAATGCTGTAGGATATTAAGCAGTTCTGCCTTTTTCTTCCTTTAGATAAAGACTTTTAGTTCATCTTTAGTACTAAGAAGGAAGTGAGATAACTGTTGTACACTCTGATGTTTATCAACTTGTAAGTAGTTGTGGCAGGGAACATGAGGTGGCCTGCAAGCACGCCCCACATCATCATCATCTTGTTGCTTATCGTGGTCTTGTACACCACCTGTTCCTTCCATTTTTTATTTTATTCCCATGAAACATAATGCATTTCTGTGTTAATCTTTGCCATCCACACTTCAGTCTTACAGAAGAGCTTTTTTCATTGAATCTTGTGTTGCAATACATCAGATGTACACAGCTGTATTATTTCTGACCTGAGGCTCAAGACATGCTGTTGGTCAAAATGTAAACTTCTAGCTGATCAGTGCAGCTCATTCATTCTGTGTTGGCTGAGATCGTAAAGAGGGAGGTGATGGAAAGGATGTGCTTCAGTGATTATACTTTGACTGTAACTTGTCTTTCCACTTCATGATGCATGTTTTTTTTTTCTTTTGTCAGGATAACAAGATATAGATTCTTAATGCTTTTAAAAATTCCATCTAAAATGATGCAAATGATCTGGTGACTACCTACACCAGCGTTGGTTCTCTGTGCCTTTAGGACTGTGACAGCTGTAGAGCAGTTTAGCTGTAGCTTCAGACACCACAGTCTGAAAATACTTCAGATATATTCTGGCTAAAAAGTAATATGTAAAAAGTAATTTATATAGATACATTGATACATGGGAATTATACTTTTATGATTAGGAGAAATAAATTAAGTCATCAGTTAAGGTCATCATTTTAAGCACTAGGTGTGTAAGATTTTACTGATACATTATGGCCCGCGGTTCTGGCTTGGAACATTAAAAGGATACTGAGGCCAGAACAACATACAAGCTGTCACTTATTTACATCTGAAAAGGCAAATATGTCTCTATTACTTAAGCTGTGGTGCAGAGGCTTAAGGTGATGAACTGAATATAATGTTGCTTTAAGCACTATGAAAATCCAAGGCATGTCTCCAGTCATTGTCACCGGCTATTCTGTTGCATGTAAAACAGCCCTGAGTTAAGAACACCTCAGGAGCAGCCTCTAGCCACTAAAGCACTTGCAACTAACCTCTCAGTCACAATTAAGACAACTGTTTTCATGTACGTGATAACTGCTTTGTTGTAACAGTACAGTTTGCTATTAATGTTTGTCTTCTGTTGCGTTGTCTCTGCATGCCCAGTGCATGTTTCCATTAAAGTTTGTTTAGCTCCCGTTTTCCTCTATTTTCATTACACATTCTTTGCAAACCTGTTTATGATTCAGATTTATTTTGCTTGTTTTCTGTTAATTGTAGATAACACATGGAAAGGAAATAAAACCCGAAAGAGCATCAATAAAGCTTTTCATAGCCCTTTTACAATCAGTAGCATTTTAAGTAGATATAACAGGTCTGATTGTGTAATTAAAGTTGGCATTTGTCATTTAAAACCATAGGCTTGCAGATTGCAGCACTGAATTACACGTTACTTCCCATAAAAACATTTTAAGTAGCTTTTGTAGTGGCTGCTGTTCTGGAACTTGTCTTTTTTTATTTCAGATTAATTGTTAGGGATACCCAAAAGCGTTTAATAATTACTTTCACATCTTGTCTGTATCAGTACAGAAAACATCCTACTTTTAGCACTGGTTTAGCTAACTGGTAGTTCTGGGTAGTTTACGTAAGGTGGTGCTGAGTTCCTGTAGTCTGTGCAGCACGCAGACCATGCGAGTGTCCAGTAATTCTTTGTGGGCTTTGTGTATCTCAGACAGGGATCCTGCCAGTTTAGAAGAGTATCTCTGAAGGGCCTTCCTTTTTCTTGAATGTGGAATGTTGGGCATTAGTGATCAGCAGTGGCGATGAATAATTAATTGAGCACTCATTGGTGAATCGCTGGCTGTGTGACACAACCTGTGTTGCAGTAGCAGTGCCGGCAGTGTTTGGATAAGCTTCAGTCTCATCTATTTGTTTATTTTCCCCCATCCCCTGCCCTCCTTTAATGCAAGATTTTTGTTTTAAGATTTGGATAGAAATAGCCTGGTTTGATGGCTTTGACTTACCCTGATTTTGAAGAGATGGTATCATTGATTTTTACTCCATCTGGCTGCCATTAGATAGATAGATTCTTCAGTAGCAGCGTAGATATTTCTTCTAATAAACTGAGCTGTAAGGCTGTGTTTCTGTAGGGACAGAGTAAAATAGATATGACTGCAGTGGAATGTGAGCTGTGATTCTTTCCCTGTTTCAGTGGTGTAGTGTCTGTACTCTGGAAATCTAGATTGCTTAAAGGCAGTTAACCAACCCTTCCCATGTCCATAGCAAGTTGACACTTAGATCTTTCTAGGTCAATATGTGAGGTACAAAGGTGTGAGGTACAACAATGTATACTTGGCAGGTACAAGAAGTTCTAGCAAACAGTAGCAAAATTTAGTATGTTGCATAATTCGGCTGCTTTTGAATTGTCCGGGCTATGTGCAGAAGTGGGAATGTCTAATTATTGTGCCATTCACAAATACCTGCTTGTCTGCATAAAAACAGTCCAGAATGTTTGTAATCTACTAGAGCGTTAGCAGCACTAAGCTTGAGTAACTTGCTAATAATAATAATACACACTGGTTGTGTAACTCCTGAGCTGCTACCAATGGCTCTACGTGTCAAAGTAATGGTACGAGAAAACAAACAAAAAAAACTGGGACCAAGCTGCATTTCAAAAGTGCATAGCCATTAGGATTCCAATTTAAATGATTTTGGGATGAATGGCTCCTGAAGACGTCGAAAGCTTGACCAGTCAGAGCTGCTGGAAACATGGCTGCTCTCTAGGCTATCTCGATCACAGTGCGACAGGCAACGCGATCAACAAAGCAAGTGATGGGCAAGGCCTTGGTTCTGTCTTTGTTTGGGGGTAAATAGCTGTGTGATGTTGTGTGACTGTGGTGGTTTTCAGTTCCTTTAACAAAAATCCAATCCTCCTAATAATGAAAGTCTGAAAACGACTTTGATAAATGATGTATGACCTCGTTTCCCTTGTCTTTAAGATCGAATATCTTAACTGGGATGCTGGAGATGAAATGCATGGTGTAATCTCTCTAATTTCTGCATGTTTTGATTTTGTTGTGTCACTAGAGGAATGGGGAAAGTGGGAAAGGAGCTTTTACAGAAAGAAATGCTGAAAATTTTTGTAAATGCTCCTGGGCAGTTTTGACATATTTCTCTCTGCTGACTCATAGCTAATACCTTTCACAGACTTTTTATGCCCCAGTAATGTCATAAATGTATTTAAGGTGGCTGATGTGTATAACTTCTACTGTTCTTCTTAGGTTTGCAGAAAGTGTGATTGTTACTGTTCCAAACATTTGAGTAAGCAGCAGAATTGAATGCTCTCCTTTTAGGAATAACAATACATAAAATATTATGAATTGACTAGCAGAGCAAAGCACAGTAAAATTCACACTGAAGTTTAGCAGCTCTTATTTTCCTGTTTCTCCACCTGTAAAATGGGTACTAATCCATTCATAACTTCTAATTTCCTTGGCCTCCTGTTTCTCCATGAGAAAGATCTCATTGGCCTGTGTCATTCTCCAGGCTAAGCTTATACACAGCCACATTGTGCAGGGAAACAGATTAACTGCAAAATACTTCAGTGTTTTGAGGCATCTAGCTGAACACTTTGTTCACTGTTCCTAGGTGGCAGAAACTGCAGAAACAAATGAAATGGTTAATGGAGCTGCAGAACAGAGGACAAGTTCAAAAGAGTCCAGTCCTGTTCCTTCTCCAACGGCAGACCGCAAAGCCACGGCTGCCATTCAGGCTCAGACTGCTGCTACCCTACCAGCCAAAACACAGGAGATTCCTTCAGCTCAGATGGAGGGCTTCTTACATCGTAAGCACGAATGGGAGACACACAGCAAGAAAGCCTCAAGCAGGTAAGAGTACTTGATGTTTAATGAAGATCACTGCTTAATAATTGCAGATAATTGCATCCAAGTTCACTGTTGTCTCGCTCCAATTTATAGGAGGGAGAGGAGGTTCTTTTAATATCTGCATACCTGGTGTGAGATTAAGAAACAACGGTTCATATGTTAGTCCAACCAGTTTATTATAGATCCTAATTAGGGAGACAGGGAAGGGAAGGAGGGTGATAGAAAAGATGGGAGAGAAGCAAGAATGCCCATAAAGCGGGGATAGTCACCACCAGGATCCAGCAGCGGTCCCGTTGCACATCATTTCCAAGGTCTGAGGCAGAAGCAGCAGGGGGGAGAGCAGCAGCATGGCCGGCCTTGGGCAGCAAGCAGGCAGCAGGAAGAAGTCGCAGAGCCAGTCCAGGAGGAAGCAGCAGGACTCTGATAGCAGCCCAGGAGAGTCCGTCAGTATGCAGGCATTCCGTAGTGAGGAGAAGTCTAGGAGGGAGAGAGGCAGGTCGTGAGGTTTCTCATGGCAGAAACCTCTTCTTCATGAGGAATCTGTTGCCAGAAAACCTCATGTTGTTCACGACTGTAGGTCCCCATTTTATCCTTCTTCTCTTTCTGCCTACATGACATCCCTGGGTGCTTGAGCAAGAGTCATGTGAGTACCCCCTGAGATGGCCATCTTCCTCGAGATAAGCCCACACAAAAGACCATTAAGCTGCAGCTTATCTCTCTCTCGTTGCCCCTGGCCTTGTCCATCTGTGCCCCTCAGACAAAGGATTTCACAACCCCTGCCCAGGAACTTGCCTGAACTTGTTCATCTGTGTCCTCAGCAAGCTTTGAGACAATGATGTGAAAGAATAATCTCTTACAACTGTGATGTATGGTTTGAATTTTGGATGATCCTGGGTTGAGCCAAGAGCTGGACTCGGTGATCCTTATGGGTCCTTTCCAACTCAGGGCATTTTTTTATTATATAATAGTCAATATTATCACTGCTGTTATTGTCTTCTCACAGCTCCAAAATATTTTAATGCTCCTGTTCAAGAAATTGCATATGCATGATTGAATAATATATTTCATGAGGTTGCAATCTAATCGTACGTGTTAGAAAATGTACTATTGGCTTATATTTGGAAAGTAGAAAATGGAGGCATAAAGATATCATTCCCACTTCATGTGATGAACTTGTGGCAGTAGTGGGATTTGATTCCAGTTCTCTCAAGTTGTATGTTACTACAAGAAAAGAAAAACATGTAGGTGTAAGAACAGAAATGTCCGTATTATTCTGACATCTTCCTCTGTTTGCACATTAGCACTTTCCACCTACACTGTAATCTGTTCAGAAGAGAAGAACTGGTGAAGATGATTTTGTGTGCCTTGATTCTATTCCTAAGGACTCAGTTATGCGGTCCTCAAATAAGCAGAATTTCTGAGCTTTCTGTATGCAGTGGAAAATCACATGCTGGTTCATTGTAACCTGAGAAAGCTCTTGAGAATAATTGTATGACTTGGCTGAAAAGGAAAGTGTCGACTATTGAGCTACACCAACACCTGAGGGATGTGGTCAGAGTTGAAGTATTCAGCAGAGCTTAGTTCACATCATAAGACAAATGATCTGCATTACAGGACTACCATTTTTCTTCAGCTAGGGTTGCCTCACACCAGAGAACTAATTTGGGGTTTACGACAGCTGCTAATACTAACATTTAGGGACCCTTATTTCTACTAACCATTGATTTTTATAACTGCATTAGAGAATGAGGTAGGTGATGTCACTAATCATTTGTGACAGTCAAGGATTGCATATGTTCACTAGCTTGCAAATGAGAACTCCCTCTACAATAAAGTACAGTCATCAAAAGCTCTATCAGTTTATCTCTCAAGAATGTAAGCTGCATAGTCTGCCAAACGATCCACCCACTGTTAGGAAATGCTTATGTGCTATCACAGTGAGCTCTGGAAACCTTTAATTCCATTTGGCTCAAAGTCAGGACTTCTGTCTTGAAGTAGTGCTTGTATGAGAGAATTTTTGTCTGCATTTTGCAGGACATAGTATACTGTGCTTCTGTGCTCAGATTGAACTGGTCTCCATTATCTTATAGCAATCATTGTGTTCAATTTCTCGAGTTTTTCAAGCAAGAGCATTAGATTTATAAATATTTTTGTTGTTTTCTATGTCTCAAAGGTCATGGCATAACGTGTACTGTGTCATAAACAACCAAGAGATGGGCTTCTACAAGGATTCAAAAGCTGCTGCTTCTGGCATTCCCTATCACAATGAGATTCCAGTCAGCTTGAAAGAAGCAGTCTGTGAAATAGCGGTCGATTATAAAAAGAAAAAGCATGTGTTCAAGCTAAGGTAAACCTGCTGAAGTTTCTTTCCATGAGAATAAGCTGTGGTGGGTATGTTCACTCTGCAAATTCACAGGCAGGATCCAGCCCGAGAGCTGATAATGAGTATTAACTGCACTATCTGCTTTTCTGAACAGGGTTCTTCCCAACCCTGAAATGGGGTGTGTTTATCAAAGGTAGCAATCAGTATCAAAATAATGGTACTTATTTATGAGACAAGACTAGATACATAAAGTTAAGAGCCTGCACTTAAAAACCCTGAGCTTTCCAACTGCTGCCTCTGGAACTAAATGAAAAGAGCTGAATGTTCATGGCTCTGCTCTTCATAAAAATCAAGTCTTTTGTTTAATTTTTTTAGTATGGATTTAGGAAACTACTGAAGACATCTATCAATTACATTTTCAGGTCTTGAACTTGTTGCAGACCATCACTTTTGAAGTATTAAAGTACTTGTTGTTCAAAGGATATAAAAATAAGGCTTTCAGTTCCAAAACTGCGTTTTACTGAGTAATACTTTAGTGCCAACAGTTAAAAAATATTGCACTATTACACAGCTGCTAGAGGATTCTTTCAAAGGAGACTCGCTTTATGAACTGATTGGATTGTGTAATCTAAGATAGGTTTTTTTCCAAGTCTACACTGATGCAAGAATCCTCTAAATATAATTCATACTTAAGGAAACCTGCTGCTAACCTTTTTGAAGACAGGCCTGCAGCTATGTGATTCATCCTTCACACTATTAAAACATCTCTGAATTGATAATGTAAGAATAAGGTGTTCCAGAAACAAACCTAAGCAGAAAAATCAATTGCCCTTCTTTCACTGTATCCTGACACCTGTTATCAGGGCTGCTTCAGTAATGTCATGTGGCATATTTCCTCAGAAAGTTCACCAGCTCATTGTGGCAAAGCTCCATCTCCAAGCTGAGAAGAGTTATATTGTTGAGCACCTGGGAGGATCAGTTCTGGAAAGGCTGAGGCTTCTTTTATGCAGGTTCACGTGCAGGCAGATCTCTCACAGAAAGGCCTAGTCACGATCTGTGGAGAGTACAATGGAAGTATTTTCCATTGTTTCCAAAATTTTCCATTTTTTACAGAAAGCCAGGCATAGCTGGGACCTGTACTCTTCAGCATCTTTAACAATAACATAGATGATGGGATCGAGTGCACTCTCAAATTTGCACCAAGCTGAGTGGTGCAGCTGATACAACAAAAGGAAGTAGTGCCAATCAGAGGTACCTGAACAGGCTTGAATTGTGGGCCTGTGTGAACCTAACGAGGCAATCCCAGATATGAGTACAGACTGAGAGAACTCCTTGAGAGCAGCCCTGTGGAAATGGGCTTGGGGCTCCTGATGGGTGAAAAGCTGGACATGAGCCAGCAGTGTGTGCTTGCAGTCCAAAAGGCCAACAGTTCATCCTGGGCATGAACAGAAGGGTGGCAGCAGGGAAAGGGAGGAGATGTCCTACTCTGCTCTGCCTTCGTGAGGCCCCACCTATCCAGGTCTGGGCCCCCAGGTCAGGAAAGATGTAGACCTTTTGGAACAGGTCCAGAGGAGGGCCAGAAAGATGCTCTGAGGGCTGGAGCACCTCTCCAGCAAAGACAGACTGAGGGAGATGGGCTTATTCAGCCTGGAGAAGAGAAAGCTCCAGGGAGACCTCATTACAGCCTCCCATATTGAAAGAGAGATGATAAATAGGGGGGAAGTCTACTTTTTACATGGGTAGATTGTGATAGGACAAGGGAGAATGGTTTTAAGCTAAAGGAGGGATGATTTTGATTAGATGTCAGGGGGCAATTTTCCACTCAGAGAGTGGTGAGGTGCTGGCACAGGCTGCCCAGAGAAGGTGGGATGCCCCACTTCTGGAGGTATTCAAGGCCAGGTTGGATGGGGCCCTGAACAGCCTGTTCTAGCATCTGATTTAGTGGATGGCAACACTGCCCATAACAGTGGGGTTGGAACTACATGATCTCTGAGGTCCCTTCCAACCCAGGCCATTTTATGATCCTATGATAGTTACATTCTTCCAAATGTCTTACTTCACCTTTATGTTGTTTTGCCATTTAATGCTTCTTTTTGTGGAGAAAGATCAAGTGTTGCTTCCACTGACCCTACTTGTTACTTGTTCAGATGCTTGATCTGATATAATTCAGTCTTTTTTAATTAATGTATCTTCATACAAATGGTTAAATGTTCTGAGTTAAACGCTCTGAGTAAAATCAGCACAGTAATAAAACAGACTGAAGTTTCTGATCTTCACTGAGAAGATGCAACTACTCGTGAACCATATAAAGTATGGTATCTTGTCTCATCATCACAGTATGACAGCAGGGCAGCTGCAGAGTTTTGATGGGTTTCTACCAAAAAAATGTAAACTCTGGGTGTTGTCTGTGACTTTTGTCTTTTTAAAATATCGAGTAAACTTTTGTACTGTCATTTGCAAGATAGAAGAGATCTGCCTGAAAGAGCAAGTACTGAAATAAGTCATCAGCTGCCAAAGATCATGACCTCTGCAGTGCAGCATGACATATTGGAACACTGACACTATCATAAGCATGTATAGAGATCAGAATATTGTGTGTGTGGCTGGATCTGCATGGCAGTATGAGATACCAAAACATTAGCTGTTGGCATGTGTTTGTGTCTATAAGGATGTTACGACTTTCCTGTATGTCTCAGTCTGGTTATGTACTGTAGCTAAAAAAGCAGGAATTGAACCACTGTGACTTCTGCTAACTTAGATTTGTGATGGTTGTTTTCTCTACAGATTGACTGATGGCAACGAATACCTCTTCCAAGCCAAAGACGATGTAAGTTTGTTTTTCTCAGTCTATTACTGATAGGGATTCTGTGCTGTTGGACAAGGGGAAATAAAACAAAAAAAACTGTGAAGAGTTTAGGAGTACACTTCAATTTTCTGATCTCCGATCATGTATGTATGTGTGCATAATGCATAGATTGAGAAGGTCTCAGATGCAGATTGAAGTAGACAGCTCCTTCAGGTGCATAACCAGAGGAGTGCCAGATGATGAGTTAGGACTGTGTTTAATTTCCCGTTTTTATCCATTCCCCATCTGCAATGCTGAATGAGAGAGGGAGTGTGGTGCATGGATTGTAACAGCTTTCTACCTTTCGGGCTTCTTGAAGGAGGAGATGAACACGTGGATTCAGGCCATCACATCAGCTATCTCATCTGATAAAATCGAAGTGTCCCCGACCACTCAGAGCACTCCAGCCTCCAGCCGTGCCCAGACCCTGCCTGCCAGCGTCACAATAACCAGCGAGTCCAGTCCTGGCAAGAGAGAGAAAGACAAAGAGAAAGACAAAGAGAAAAGGTTCAGCCTTTTTGGTAAAAAGAAGTGAACTCCATCTCCACACACTGCACTTCTCTGACCGTTCCAGTGGAATTCCAGCATGCGAGCTCAGAACCAATACGTTACTCTCTGTGCCTCATGTTCCTCAATGTGATTGACATTTTTTTATTTATAGAGCATTTTAAAATAAAAAGCCAACAAAAAGGAATCTAAAGTTACAAGTGTATGAGGTGCATTGGGCAGCTTCTGTAGGAGAGGGAGGACCAGCTTTGGGGGGGTTGTTTTTGTTTGTTGTTTTTTTTTTTTAAATGAAGTTAGTGTAGATTAGATCTTACTATTTAAACTGTTCCTCAATTTTGTGAGGCTGTCTTGGAAAATAACCCACTCCTAGTGCTATTGGTATGCAAGGCAGCGGTGCTTTCAATCTACTGTGCACATCAAAAACCAATGGACAAATTTTCAAAAAATGTTCACTTCCATTTAAGGTTGTTATGCTGAGTCTTGACTAGTAGAGCCTCCCATTTCAATTCTAACATTTATTAAAATGATAGTGTATTATCTTTCCTGTAACAGAGTGCAGGTATGCATTAACTTACAGACAAACCATTTCTACCCTGGCATTGGTTATTAACACAACCTGAAGCTTTTCTGCATCAAGTATGACAGATAAGAATGTTATCTGAGATGGATAAGCAGGCTGATACAGTTTTAAATAATCTGTAATTTCAAAAAAAAAAAAAAATTTTTTTTTTTTTTGCTGAAATACATTATATTGTATGTTTCAGATAATTCTAGTACAAAGTATAATAAGACTAGATGTATAATAAACCCTTTAAAATCATTGATAAGTGTAAAAGTGGAACTGAAGCATTTACTGGAAAAGTAATGTTACTCAAATGGTTACTTGCTTGTCAGCTGCAGCACTGCGTGTTATAATTTTGCTACATTACCTTGCTCTTTGATACATAGTGTGCATTTCTCTGTCACTGTAACTATTGTAATGAAAAATTTTCATCTTACTGCACAATCAAAAATTACATTTAATAGGAATGAACTTTCGATGACTGGGCCTGTAGTCAAGAGTAGTACTGGAACTGGTTTTCAGTTGTATCGAACTGTACCTCTAGACTTTTACCCTATCTGTTAAATATATGCTATGTCATTAAATGCTTTTAAAACTAAATATGCTGGTTAAGTTTCTTATTTCATTTCTGATAATGTTAAATCATAATTTTGAAAGGATCAAAAATAAAGTTATTTTAAAATGTCTTCTCTCCTGTGCACTGAAGCTAATGTCTTAAGTTGTAATTCCGTTTTTTTGTGTGTGCAAAACTTCATACTGAAATAATTGTTCTCTCTCTTCTCACTTTTCTTTATCTTTCCTTTCCCTTCACCTCCCACTTGCCCTCCCTTCCATCCTTCCCCTCGGATTGTGCCCCCAAACAAATAAAATAAAAATAAAAACAAAGAGGGAATCAATGTTTTGTGAAATATTCCGACGCAGACCTTTTTTGTTGGAAATAAATCCAGCAGAAGCAGTGGAAGTAACCATGGGCTTAGACTGAGTTGGGTGAACATCTTATCTGATTGGGGTAGTTATCCACGTTGTAATTTGCAGCTAATGAGCATTATTTTAAGTAAGCTTAATTCTGCAGCTCTCCAGCTGCCCCATAGTAATGTGCTCAGCTAAAGCCTTCAGTAAATCAGACAGGAATCGAACTATAATGCACCAAGGGTTTCTTGTTCTGCCCAACTTCAATTCACTGTTTCTCTCTCTCTCTTTTTTTTTTTTTTTTTTTTTAACATAGCTCTCTTAAATTGTAGCCACCCTTGCCCTCCTGTGAAGATATAAATTTAATGCCAGTAAGGTTCCAAAGCTTAGCATTTCCTTGATGTTTCAACATTTTGAAGACTGAGCATCTTTTCAGAATTTTCTTTACATTGGATGGCATGTAGGGAGCCATCAGGAAGGAAAAGCTCCAAGAAGTCTAAACAGGAATTGAACGTTTAAAAAACAGTGAAATATAGAAAACTTCTTTATTTAAATTTTTCTGATTATTAAAATGCACTCAAATGTAACTTCAGATGGAAAGCCAGTGCAGTGCAAACTGGCACGTTTCTAAACCAGTTTCTTGAACATGTGATCAGTGCAGTGTCTGAATTCTTTCCATGGGGTGTGCTGGGTGTTCTGTGTCTTCTTTGTTTTCTAAAATCTTGGGTTATTAAGCAACTAAATATTCATGCATGTTAGTTTTTACTTCTTTAATATTGTTCCAGTCTGTTAGAGAAATGTAGGGTAACCACCAGTCTTGTAAATGTAAAAATTTAATACAAAAAACTGAGGCGTAATGTTAGAATATGAAAATTGTCTTTGTTGATCAAAATACAAAACTCTGTTGATGCCTTACTGTGTGTCACTTCAATAAAGCTAATAAGATAGGCAAGTAATATTTAGCAGATCAATCTTAACTACCTGTTGCATGTCATAGAGCAGCGATGTTTTTGATCATGCCTTCAGAATTCTGTTCTACTTGTTTGTCTTTTCTCTTAACTTGTTCTTGGAAAGTATTTGAGAAGACCTTTTTGCTTAGGAACTGATTTCAAGTTCCTGAGGAGATTGAGTGAATTATTCTAAGTCTCACCTGCTTTCCCCTTTGGGTGCAATTTCCACACAGACCGAATTGGTGGGTCAGGAGGAGCATCCTCTGACAAAAGCAGGTCAGAAAAGGCAAGCCCTGGCTTGGCATACTTCCCTCCTGGTTTGATTCATCACAGCTGTGTTTCAGTGAAGGGGACTGGGCCCTTAACAGGGGCTAGAGCCATTGCAGAAACCCAGAGCAGCTCACTTTTCAGCTGTGTTGCTCTCATTGTTATAAAGAAATAATTCCTTAGTAAGGAATGCCTGCCCTCCTTTTTTTTTCTCTTGGTGAGCGCCTTATACTGAAATCTAAGCTGTGTAGGTATTCAGGGAGCTGCACCTGAAGAGTCCTTCCCATGTTCCTGTGAATAGAGTACGAGGAAGATGAAAATCCCCAAACCTTTTATCTGTGGGAACAAAGCATATGTTGAGTAGGAAGGTTTTATTTTAGACTGATGCAAATGATCTGTTAACCCATCTGCTTTTCATAGAGAGTATGTTCTGTTGTAGAGATCCACTCTGTATGAGGGAGATTAACAGTGAAGTAAATGACATGTATGACTAAATTATGTTCCTGTGAAATGCTGTTTTAGACTAAATTATATTCCTGTGAAATGCTGTTTTAGACTGTTTTTCATTTCAATGTGTTCTCTTTTTTATGATTGAGTTTGCAGAGAGTAGCCTTAAAATGTGTGGGGTCTTTACGAATATGCTGTTATAATAAATAGCTTGCAGGTATGATACAACATTGCCTTTTATTTGTGGATGTTTGGGTTTTTCTACCTTGACTAAGCACAGCTGAGCTAAAACAGAAAGTCAATCACAATTCGTTGAAACAAACATGAGACACTTCCATTCCAAATAAACAGAGGTGCATAATAAACAGAGAGCACCTCAGAAAATCAGGCTCTGCTAAACAATGCACTCATTGTTGCAAAACTACTGAAGAAAGCAGAATTCAGCTCTTCTGACACTGCAGCTCTGCTTGTAGTCTGAGCAACAGAGGGCATCCTGACAACAAGAGGAACTGGAGATCTCAGCCAGCTGAAGTTCAGCTTGCTTTCCTGAGGGCTGAGGTCAAGCAGAATATAATTCAGGTAAGAAGTACTGTATTCCTACTCTAGAAGAGTACAGCATCAGAAATGGAATTGTGCCTGTGATTACCTACTTGCAGTCCACCTGTTTTTCAGCAAGATTGGGATTTGACTCCTCTAATAATCTAATCGATTAGATTAGATTAGATCTAATAATTTGTTTCATAACAAATTCCCCATTTACAGACACTCAGATCCCCATGACCAGTAGATCTCTCTGTTCTATCCATAGTCAACCAAAACCAGTTTATTTGCAAACTCAGCTGATTTCGTAGCTGGGCAGAAGGAGGACACATACATGTTAGGAATAGCAATAAAGCCTTTCTGATTGTAATGATGAATGTCTGGTTCCTATTGGTGGAGTGAAGATGTTTAGCACTTGACAGTTGTATTATGGTTATCCTAGTTCTCAAAATCCCACAGTGTGTTGCCGGTGGTGCACTTCGTTTGGCTGTTCATTTCACTTCCTCCTAAGCAGCTTGGGTTTGCAAACTTGTTAGTGACCTGGCCAGCAAATTCCTCCTTTGATTTCTTTAATGTCAGAAGTCCTGAGGAGCCCTGACAGCACTGAAGTCTGTTTGTTAGCACTTAACAGTTGAAATTAGTAGAATTCACAAACACTGTTTTGTTGTTCTGAGTAGCTTGATGACAATTTATTCTCCCCTACTCCTCCCATGTAGATATCTGAGAGCTGAGCTGTTGCCAGGCAGGAACAGTACTGTGGCTGTGAGTACATTAGTGACTACTGGGCTGTAGGGAAAAACAGAAGAGTAGGATTCTATTTAGCCCTTCCTTCCCAGCCCAAGCAACTCCCTTTTGAAAAGATCTATTAATGCTGGACCATCACTCATCTAGTAAGATGCTGTCCCAGTCTTATCCAAATATTTCCATGCTATAAATGTCATAACTGAGCAAGATTCTACTCTTTTCAAGGCTTTGCTTGTTTCTGTTTCTCCTCAATTTAAAAAGCACCATGGCAATTACTATACTGGTACATGTTCTGCACTTCAGGCAGTAGTTGCTTCTCAACACATAGTGAAGCTTGCCAATTTTAATTTATTGTCAATTAGCAAGGAATATGAAACTATTTTTCAGCTTCCTTAAAAGCCTCGAGTGGGAAGAGAATGGGAACTGACCATGCGTTCTCTGATAAAACTTGCTTCACTATTGTTCTGATTTGTCCCTTGTTTCACAGTTTGTCTCATGCAAATGAACACCTATGCCTCCACATCACTGAAGTAGGAGTTAGCAAGTGGCCTTGTAATGAATAACTTTCAGAATACATAGGCAATACCTGCAAGCCTTTTGTATACTGTAAATAATGTGGGTGTTGTTTTAGAATACTTTTGCAATTCTAGATGTAAATGAAATTAAAAATGTTATGTAGTATTTCACTATACAGAACACACAATAGCTTTAATGACATGGGTGATGATTCTTTAACTGCTAAGATCAAAAGTTAATGACATAAGTAATAGAAAACTGAGAAGTAAAAGATCATGCTCTCCTTGATTCAATGCCATAAAGAACTATGTTTTTAATTCAAGGGTGATCTTTTTTTTTTTTTTTAATATAGTCTTAGTGCTTACTAAGACTTACCTCTTACACAGACTAATGACTGTGGCTACATGTATCTACCTTGCAGAACTTAATGCAGTAATTTAGAATATATTACATGCACGTCACAACATTAAGGTACTTTCAAAATCCTTTTCTGCCTTGCCAAGCTGTAAGAGTATGCTTTTTCTTTAAGTACAGGATATAAAAGCCCTGCCTCCATATGTTCAAAAGTAAAATACTGGTCACAAGTTGACTTAATGTGCTAAGCAAGAAACTTGAAGAAGGTTCTTTAAACAAGGTTCTTAAACAAGGTTCTTAAACGTGAAGAAGTTGCTTTAATCAACTTTTGTACTTACTTTCTTTTACCACATCTAAATAATAGAATAATGTATTCTGTAGAATTGTTTGTTTTAATGTTTAATTACATGAGTTGTCTCTCTCACTGAATCCCTGAGGAAGAACTCTTTTGCCCTTCAGGTTGTTTTTTTGTTGTTGTTTCTCTTGTGTTATAATTTTTAACTGGTTTATCTGGTTCTTTCTGTATGGTGGTATGAACACAGTCAAGGCTGAGTTCAGCCTCTTCTAATTCATGAGCTGCACAGAGTGCATCTGGTCCAACTGCAGAACAGGCAGAGCAAGCAGCCAGGCTGACTTCTCAGCTGCAGTAACTTGGCAGAGCTCAGCCTGCACTACTCTGCAGTACTCCTGCAGTACTGCTCTGTGTGGTCAGGCTCTAGCTGAGGAGTCAGTATTCAGTGCTTGAGGCAACAATCTATTTTCTATGCTACTGCTGAATGCAATTTATCCCATTGTTAAGTATTTTTCTCTAGCTTTGTGATAGCAACTCAATGAATTTTTAATTTTGGTGGATTATTCTTTTTTTCCCTAAGGATTTTAGAGAAGATTTAAGTACAAATAAGATGAAGCATCAAACAAAACCACAGTTCAGTATTTTAAGTACTGCAGTGCAGGGGGCAAATAGTGAGAATAATGCTAAATATATTACAGTATATATCAATGAAATGCAAAAAGCAAAAAATGCTGACAGTTTTACTCCTCATTCAGCTTGTACCCTTTGTTACTCTGCCTTTTAGCAACCACCCAGCAGGGTTGAGGTGTCTTATTGACGTGTGCTAATGCTACTGAAGCAAATCTAGACCAGTTGTGTGCACCATCACCTGATATCTGAGTCACTCTGTGTAGCCAAGGCAGCAGAGCAGCTTCACGAAGCCCACGTGACCACATCTGCAGTATGTCATAATGCAGCATATACAGTGTGCACCCAGAAAATGGAGCAGCCCGAGAAGAGCCTCGGCTGTCACAGCCACAGGATAGTCACAGAACAGAACACCAGGACACCTCAAATGGTCTGCTTTGTGAGAAGTGATCAATTAATTCTGTAAAGGATGATACAGAGGATTTTGTGCATAAGTATTAATTTCATAATGAATTCTCCCTTGCTTTTGGAGCTCAGTGTGTTCATCAGCCAGCTGACTGTGAACATCAAGTCTTTGATACAGTTTAATTATACCTGTTGTTCTATGTTTGAAATATCATTTGACTTGTTTATTAAAATAATTAATTTCACTTAATCTTTAACCATTACATGAAATTCTATGGTGATTCATGATGTTACAGCTAGAAAACATCTAGAGCTATTACCAATGCTATTACTACTTTCTTATTGATACCATTATTATTTTACATCTCACATCTAGTTGAGACAAAAAAATTCCCTTGTTCTCAGAGTACCAGCATTTTCCATGAGAGGTCACTCTATCCAGAAAGATGCTGAGCTGCAACAGACCTGCTCTTGTCTGAACAATGCACCTGAACAATGAAGAAGAGTTTGTGAACTCACTCTGACAGTGCTGAAAGTAAATCAGCTATTTGTATAAAAGCTACACTCTATACTCCCCCAAAAATGGAAGAAGAAAAAGATTTATAAAGATTACTCACATCAGTCCATGTTATTTAAATGGCTCTTAAACAGAATACAGTGAAAAGAAAGAAAATGTGTGATTTAAAACAAACTTCTTCCATGATTGTTTTTTTTCCTCACCCCAAATAAGTTGGAAGCTTGCACTAGATCCAAACGAGGCAGAAAACATATCATGGAAAATTAGACAAATTACACTCAAAACTTCCTTGGATTATTAATACAAAAATCAAATTGAACACCATAAATTGTGAGTCAGCATCTCAGAGACCGTCAGTATGCTGAAGTAGCAGGGCAATAAATGATGCTCAGAAGTGGACTTTGAATCAGAGCATGTGTGTGAAATTTGAAATGTAGGAAACTTAGTGGTACATTTAGTCTTGTTGCAAGGATTTAGAAAAATAGAAGCCTGTTACTTCATTTTAAATATTTGATATTTTATGTTAAATCAATGCCTTACATATAGCAGATGAAATTGTCTTCAGAAAATATTTGAACCCATAACCATTGCAATTGAGAAAACTTCATGGAAAGCCCAATGCTGGCTATCACCTAGTTGAGGAAACAGGATTTTATTTTTAGATTGTAATGCTCAGCAAATCAAAAGGAAGCTTTTCATGATTTTCCAGGTAAGTCAGAAGTCAGTACTAGTGCCACCAGTACCAGAGAACCAAGAGGCCCTAAAGTAAAGCACACAACATGCAAAGCTCACGTGCCTTGATTGTTAGTTCACCATAGAAAGACAGAATGACAAGATTTCTCATCCTTACAGGACAGCTTCCAGGTGAGATACATCACCTATAAGAAAAGAACCATAGCTATTCTAAAGAAATACTCAGTAGTTGCTTATCAGTCTGGCACTTAAGTTGCTGGGGCACCATTGTAGGCAATGTAGAAAGGCTACCTGCTCAGCACTGTGTTTAGTACCATCTCAAGTTTTTATAACTGTTTTTAAAATCTTATGCTTTATGATAGTTGAAACTTGTAACATAGAAAGAAGCAGTGAGCCTGACTTTAGAGCAGAAGCTCTTAGGATGAGATATTCAGATGCCACTCCTCCTGTTACTGAGATGCTGCATGTAGAAAATAAAAAGAATAAAAGTTGCCACTAAAAACCCTGCTGTTCACTGCTCCTTCTTCATTTCATAATTATAAAGAAGCGATGATGAGGAAGGACCAGCATATTACAATGCTGGTTGTGGTCTAGATGATAAAAGGAAGAACATGTATACTTCTCCCTGGTTCAGTCGATTAAAAGTAACCTGGAAGCAATCTGTATTATCTTTTCCACAGAGACTGGTACCTTTGATGTTCAGATACTCTTCTTATCCCTTCACAGTCAAAGAAAGGCAAATTCCCTGCAACTGCCCTGTGAATAAAACAGATGGAAAAGATAACACTAGGTCATTCTCAAAAGAATGAGGACCTGGGTGCAAGTTCCCTTAACTTGGAAAAGAAAAGTCAGATTTTATAGGTTATGTAAACTTGTGGCAAGGCTTGGCTCAGATGAATCATTGTAGGAAGGAAGCTGAGTCAAGTCAATGGCAGCTGGGACATTTAGCTTTAAGGCAAGGGACATCTCCATCCTTCCCGTGACAGAAAATAATGACAGCAGAACAAGATCCCTGGGAAGAACAAGATCCCTGTGACAGTAGATTGGAATTCATCAGTGAATTCTGAAAAAATTACAGATTACAGAAAGACAGCCCCAAAAGCATGCCTGGATAAAGGCTGGCAGTAACTCACTAGGGATTATCTGGAAGACCCTTCAGGCAGAGGTTCTGCAGCCTGTAGCACACTCAAACAGGCTGCTTCAGAGGCTCACTGGGTCTCTGCAGATCATTCTGTTGGCTCTGTACCTCTGGGCTTTGAGCAAGGACAAGCACAGCACGTTAAGACAGATGGTTTTATTGATCTCTTCTGTGTGGTAGTTCTGGATTGCACTTGGACATACAGCAAAACAAATGCATGATGGTTCGTTGGAAGAGCTTTCTCTCCAGGCTAGGATATGTCTGATCTTTCAGAAATCAGCTTGCTTTGCATTTGAAAATGGAAAATACTCACTTTTTAAAATTATTCTTTTTTCCCCCAGTACTGTTTCTGAACAGATCTTAACCTTTCATCAACGCAGATCAGTATTTCCACCCACAAGAAATAAGAGCTTAGAGCCAATTCCTCTGTTATTATTCTGTAGTTAAATTGTAAAATCACTGAGAGGCATCAATCAGGATTGGATTAATGTAATGCCAGGCAAAAAAAAAAAAAAAAACAACAACCAAATACAACAGAACTAGATTACAGTTCCTGACTCTGATCCTTCCCTGTGCCAAGTTCTTATGGATTTTATATTATTTAATCACCTAGGTACCTATTTTGGAAAACCAATTAATATGCCTTCTCAATGCATGTGCAGTACATTTATCCATAAAAATATGAGTTATAAGTGGTATTTTGTGTAGGAAAGATCTAGGGCATAACACAGATGTTTCTAGGAGGGAAAATCTCAGTGTTCATTATTAATCACAGGCTCAGATATGTATGGAGTGGGCAGGATATAGTAGCACAGAGGAGTAGAGTTAATACGAGATGTAATGTTTTTTGGCATCTATACAAGGTATGATTTAAAAGAAACAAACAATCAAAGGGAAACAGCTCAAACCCCTCAAAAACAGCAGCAGCAGCAAATGGTCACTTTAGCAGACTGAATACAATAAGTATTACTTAGGCAATACCCATACAGAATGCTGTATTGGTCATATTTCATCTAATAATAATGACAATGAAGTAGAAACTGGAATAAATAAAAAAAAGTCACCTACCTGAGCAAGACAAGAACAGTCTCTCAAGAAGAGTTAAAACTTGGAAAATATTTGGAGACAAAAATGTTGGATAGTTGGTGTGTCCATGCCTGCTCACGACCACAGTCTTTAGACCTTAGAAATTATTAACAAAAAACAAACAGTAACCACTTTACTCAGTCTGCCACATGAGTATGTAGAGCCTCCACATGCATATGGCAACAGCTTCTCTCAGACAGTGTTTTCTAAGCATCGAGGGGCATTTAAAAATTAGCTGTAAACATGGTTATATCCAATATTGTAAATATGTTTGTTAGATCAAAACTTTTAATTGCTGCTGCCGATGTGTCACCAGAATAAATTGAAGAAAACGCATTTTTGTTAAATGTGATACCTAAGCCAAGGGTGAAAAATAGTGTAAAGTTTTTTCCATTACGAGCACAGACAAGTCTTTAGTACATGCAAGAGACAGAAGCTCACCCTTGCATGTTGCAGACAACTTACTGGGCCTTTTTTTTTTGTCCTAACTTCTCTGTAAGGCCTGCAGGCAGCATTTCCTGGCAGTGCTCACTTTTCCAATGATACTGTTCTTCTGTAGGTAAATTGGAGGCTCTGCAGCCAAGCAGAATCAACTTCAGATAGCACCTGACTCTTGGGGTACCTTTGGTGAAGGGCCTTCATCCATTCTGAAACAGTTCTTGGCAGCCTCCTCATCCCTCCTCTGCAGTAGGCATTTCTGCAACAAAAGCAATGGTTGAGGGGGGATATCCTTTACATTGCCTTCTTGGAAATCCTGTTAGTGGAAATTAAACATTAGATTAAACACGACTTTTTTACTACCTAACTAAAGGGCTTAATAAATATTGCTTCCTTAAGCATCTAAGCTTACTGTACTTTGGCATAGCAAAGTTAATTTGTGCTACATAATCCTGTTGCTATGCAAATAGTTTGTTTTTACATTTAAAATGAAAGAAAAAGTGTACATAATGAGTCGCATGTTTCAGGCTAGGCTAATATGCTCCTTGATACAAGGAAAAGCAGTGTTAGTCTTTGAAATTTTTTATGCATCTTTTCATTACGTTCTTAAATACATTTTAAAGTATTTATTTTTATGTGACTTAAATTAGAAAAACATTCAGACCATGAGGGCATTTGGACATAGATGCCTTTTTTTTTTTTAAAAACTGAGGATCATACTGTGTCTTGATTCATACTTCTCAGCCTTCCTAGTACTTCTGATGTGAGAATTCCAGAGTTCCATGCATGCTTGTTACAGCTGCACATCTAAAATAAAACTTATGTTATTAGGGCTCTATTTCAAGAATTACACTCAGACTCACATACAGTATGAACACTTGAGAGAAAGCTTGAAAAACATCGGTGATGTTTATGTTGTACTGACAATGAACAGCAGGTTGCAGTATTGAGGAATACTTTTAGCAACATGACAACTGATAAGAAATTAACAATCTTTTTTTTTAATTGAAAAAAATTACACAAGGAACTCACCAAGTAATTCAATCACCAGAATGAAACCATGAAACCTTTGTTAGCATAGATTATATGAAAATAAGTGAGAATGAACTTGTAGTTCCATATATTTAAAGTTTTCTTTGTTTTTTTTTGGTGGATGTTGGCTCATAACTAGCGTGCTTTACTGCTACATTTTTTCTAAACCCAAGCATGTATATTTAGTAAAGCAATGTGTATTGCTTAAAGCCCCCACACTTTGACCATACTAGATATCACAAATAGAAAAAGAATATGCCAAGTTTTACTGAGGAATGAAATATGAAATTCAACTAAACCATTGTTGCTCAGAGAAAGGTGCCAGCCTCACTCAGAGACTTAAGTAAGTTTCTATTTGCCCTTGCTATGTAAAATAAAATGTAGAAGTAAGATGTAAAATGACCTATTTATCATATGTATCATTTTAGAAAGTGTATAGACAACAACAGATTGTTAAGATCACATGGAATTTATTCCACTG